TTGAAGATGATATAAATTCTATATATCGGAAGCAATTTGCCTTGTGGGTCATAAATTTGCAATGAGAGCATTCAAGAGTAGATTTATTTTAGTAACAATGATTTACAGCTATTCAATTAATTTATGGACATAGAAATATAGTATTTTTATAAGATTAGTTACATTCTTAGTATTTAATTAATTTTTTTTCTTGACGATTACTGGTGAAGTCAACAATATAAAATAGTTACGGTACAAAATTTGTAACGGAAAATAGAAAGTGGATGGAGAGAATAGCTTATACTAATCCGTAGAATATAGATTCTATTATATTAATAACACGGCACGCAAGCAAATCAATCCTTTTTATTAATTTGAATAGAGGCGATTATTCATTTACTATGATATGGGTCGAATTTCTCGTGAGATTTTTATTCTATCAAAGTGTTACCTATTCAATTGTTGTGTTGCTTCTCTTATTATAGCAGTAACGTCTGATATATTCACATGACGATAATTTAATATTCTAAAATATCAATATGAACGGAAATTATTCTTCTACTAACCTGGTATCAAGACTTTAATAGGAATCGATTTTTTTATTGCAAGGGCAGTATGAAATCAATCAAGAAAAATATTTGTCTGGGATTAGATAAAACATCATTGTCCATATATACTATCTGTAATACACAGCGAGTTTTTAAATTTCAAATTTTCCGTTGCCGTGATAATCGAAAACTAAGTTGATAAGCAGCATACTATAAATTACATTAACAATACTGTAGTTAGTTAGTTACGATTGATCATATGTAGATGTTAAGGGATATACTTGGATTGTTGCAATATTAAATTTAAATATTAAAAAAATTATATCATTAATTCGTATCATGATGGCAACAATGTCGATAATTATAATTAATGTCCCTAGAAATAAAAAGAATAGCTAGAGAAGTATATTTCCTTACAATAAAATTATAACGCATAAATATTTGTTTAACAACTCAAATACAATTTGTTCGATCTATAGCAAAAATTTTTTAACGGGTAGTGTTATCGATACTAAATGTTATTTTTTAAAAGAAAGCAGCTTAAATTCTCCAAAAAATATTGCAGAAAATAATTGTTTTTCATACAGCGGAGGCAATTTTGATGATAAATTCCATCGATATTTTATTTTAATTTTGAAGAAGCTTTATTTTTAATTTTCGATCTTGGATGTCGTCTCACTGGGAAGTGTTTTCCCTTTGAGTTGAAAGCCTTACTGTATCAATTACTCAAGATTAAAATTGATGTAATGTAGTGGATATTAATTTAAAAAAGAACTGTTTGACTCTACCTTAATGCAAGCACTAAGTTATTGTAATGACAGTTAATCCCCAAGCCCTTTATGTCCTTAAATTAATCCATATAATTATTGCTGCACCGATATTTTTTAATTATTCAGTTTTTAATCGCTATCAATAGCTAGTATGATTGATAAAATGCTTAAAATTGAGTGATTTAAGGGTACGAGAGAAGAAGGTTGGAATTAATAACATAATTGATAACATATAATAATTGTAGTAATTATATTTAGTAAAGTTGGATAATCTCAATTGTCTTAAATATTGCTATTGGGCAAATATATGCAGTTGTTGAGTAATTTGAGCTACAGCAGGTAATACACAGAGCTGAAACGATTATTCCTTCACTGTTTGTATTAATGTTTTTGTTCTGTTTAATATGCTAACAACTTCAATAAGATCATTCCAACTTGCTAGTAACTTTGATCCAATCCCTCATGAGCAAGTAAATTAGTCATCGATGCTAAGAGAAAAACTAATTTGTGTTGATAATATTTCATTAATGTTACAAGAGAATAATTTTTTAATTAACTGTACATTATTTTCCATCGTTATGATAGCTATAAATCTGACATAATGCTTTGGTATTTTCATCAATATTTTTCTATACATTTTTTTTACATCCTTCAATTTGAACTATGAGTTCGATATTAAACCAATGTTGTGGATGATTAAGTAGAAGAATCGATTTGGACATTATATTGGCATCAACTTTCTAGTATTAAAGTTATCGATTAATTTGGTGTATTCTTGAATGTTTCGTCTTGATTAACTAGAAATAAAGTGACAACAAAATCAAGCAAGTCATTGATCTATCAAAGCGACACCTTGATTGTTTGATGATAATGTCGCATTAAAACCGCCTGCGGTCACTTTCCATTTGTTCTATTCTTTTAATGTTTATAATCGAATTTGTCGGTCGATATTAATCGAATTCAAAGTAACCTTGGCGGGCCTGTTGTTTGTTTTCTTAATTTAATCTATAACGATATTACAAATGAAATAGAATAAATAAATTTAAAAATAAAACTCTTGACTAGTCCTATCTATTGACTTTCTATCCGCTGCCAATTACAATAGTCCGATTATCAACGTAGAAGCAAAATGATATTTCCATGAAGAGTAGGGAATATCTTTCTCATCTCCTTTTTACTTTGATCCGTATTGTTATTAATACTTAGCCAGTAAAGTAGATAAAATCAAGTAGGGTTTGTGTATGCTAGTCATTGCGGTATTCATCAATTTCTTACTACAGAACAGATTCTTACTTTCCTTCTAGCATTCCCACCCCCGACTGATCAACCAATCCTTCTATTTTGTTATCATTGTTATGAGAATGGTCGATAGCTATGATGAAGATGATGATAGCAGGTCATCTTTTTTTAAATTTTTTTGATTACTCTTGATTTACATAAAAAAATAACCAACGTTTCTCCTCCTCTCACTCCTCCATTTGTTTGCTTTTGAGACGTTAGCAACAATCATGCAGGAGTGAAAGAGCAGGTGGTAACAAGTGAATTTAAACAATGGCTATCAACGGACAATATTGGCCTTAAATTATAAGCCTATTCAGAATTGAAGGCTACCGATGGTGAATCAGAATTACCATTTACAAGAGGAATTAAAATGAAAATGGATAATTCAATCGCTTCATTGTACATCTATTTCTTTCTATTATCATCAATGACAACACGAACTGGCCAGATGAGTTATATCATCATAACAACAAGATAAAAAAGAAAAAAAAGGAAGATAGACGGATTAAATAAAAAAAGGGATGGAAAGAATTGATAAAATGTGATGTCCTTATTGAAGCTGGCTACCTTAAAATACGATATTATTTAATTGTCGTAATTGCTAATTATTTGTTTCAAGGTAACACCATATGTAAAAAAAATAAAATATTGTATATTAACAATAGTGTAAGCTGACCATCCAATCCAGAAAAATCATCTTCATTATTTGTTAAGTAAATTATTGTAAAAAATCAGGTTACGAGTGAGGTTACATAAATTATAAAAATTAAAAAATGTAATAATTTAGCTACGATTGACTATTTCATCATTAAATGTTTATTTTACTACACAGAAAGAAGAAAGAAACAAGCGAAGAAAACTTAATTAAAAATATGAAAAATTGATCGATTGGTAACTGGATGATCATCTTCGATGTTGTTTCCCTTGTAGGATGGATAAATTATACGCGTAGATCAAAACCAATTAAGCATATAATATGTACAAATAAAAATATAATCACGACTACTTTGGCTATCAATCTCTGTCAGTACATTTGAACGTATAGTATAGAAATATAGACTGTCCAAAATTAATAAAAAGAAATTCATCTTAGCTAATCCATTGTCCGTTAGGATTACTTATTAAATCGTCTGTTATTTTTAAACTTCAAATGATATTGTCTATTCAATATTTTCACTAAATTTATCTTAATCGTTCAATACTCTGTCTACCATTTATGTATTGTCTTATTAGCCTAACTGCTGCTGTTGTTGTTTGTTGCTTTACGTAATCATTGAATAGATGCCACCCACTATTTAAAGCCCATCATTTTTGCTCCTTCATCATCTTATAACCAGTTCATCATCTGAGGATTTTTAAGCATAACTATTTCTATTAGGTAAAAGCAATTTTGCCTCCTTAGGAGAAAAAAATATTGCAAAGGACTTTAAAATTGTACCAGTTTTCATCGAAGAACCATTTGGGAATAACCAGGTTAATAAAAGTTTCAATGATAATGTTTAAATTTCTTATTTGATATCTAAAATTTTCATCATTTTAAATAGATATATTTCTTTCAATTTTAATCCTTACCATTCTATTTTCAATCTTGCAACATTAAATTAAATCCTTATAAACTATAGTATTAATTATATACAAAAAGTTACTGTCTCAATCATTCTGTTAGCTAGATTATCGTAGAATGAGTCATACAGAATAAAGACTACAGGAAGGAATGTGATCATTGATTGTAATTTTTGTTCAGTTTGTAGTAATGATTAAAACTATATCTCGTTTCATCAAAAGTGCCATACCAAAGTAGGCAATTTTCTATCTCATTTTTCTTGGCTAGGAAAATAGTCTCGATACTCCTAAATTGCAAATAATTGTATTTAAATTGTTTTAATATAATTCTAAAATCCGAGTTGCTTTAAGCTACTACATATATTTACTCTATTGAGTGAAGTTATGCATTCTATTCGGTAAATATTGACTTACCTATGATATTGCAACCAGCAATATTTATTTAAGCCATTCAAGGGAGCAATTGCAAATATGTCATTCATGCCTATCGCTCTTTCTTTTTCTTTAATTTTCGACCATGTCAAGATAGAATTTTAATCGATTTATCACGTAATGAAAAAATTACATGTGTGATTATCAACTGACTGGCAACAAAATTATTATAAGCTAAAGAGATTATCGCTAGCAGCAATATTGAGTCAATATCACTAATGACTGAGTCTATAATTGCAATGATAATGCTTAATAAGAGGGAAATAATGACAGCTAACTTATTTCTTTGATGACGATTCAAGGATCGACTATGACAGCCAAATCGCCTAAACTAAGCAATTCGCCATCAATCAGTGATATAAATACAACAACAAGTAATCATTCTGCCGATGGATGCCAGTTATTAGATGCGAGTGACAAAGTTCAACGTACACCAAAATGTGCTCGTTGTCGTAATCATGGTACCATATCCATATTAAAAGGCCATAAACGTTTCTGTCCGTGGAGAGATTGCACTTGTAGTAAGTGTAATTTAATTGCTGAAAGGCAGCGAATTATGGCGGCGCAAGTTGCGTTGAGGAGACAACAGGCTCAAGAAGAAATATTGATCAATGAATGCGGTCACGATGGCCATGAAGGCGATAGATCATCATGTTGTAGTAGTGACGAATCTGTCGTTCATGTCGATTTTTCTAGACAACCAGGTGGTTTGAAAAGAAAGCACCACTCTAAAGACAACGCAGATGATGCCAATTCATCAGGTATGGTGGACAATCGATGTAGTATAATCCATGATGAATATATTTATTTCTTAAAAGTACTAGTAAAATTTAGATAGAATTATTTTCGGCTTATTATCTAATTATTAAACTAGAAATTATTCGCCTTATTAATTATATTCTCTCTTAAACACTATAAATGTACCCAAATTTATTCCAAAATGAAATTTAATTACTAAAAAAATAGCAAGTTAGGAGTAACTATGAATAATTTATTGTCAATAGAGAGATTAAAACGATTCGTATTCTTTTCACTAAATTCAGTTTCCAAAATGTCTTGATTAAGATGAACGATAGGTCTTCATTATAATAGACAATAATTATAACTACGGTACTATAATATGGCTTTCTTACACGATTATCTGTAATGCAATGCTATTGCGTGGCATACTCGTACAGTGTATTATTTAGATCAGAAAATAGCTTTGAATATTTTATTAGTTACTGTCTAATTAAGTAATTTCAGCTGTAGTGAAGTGATAATTGCTCGTTAAATCAGCAGATAATGCTGCTGCTAAATTTTATTTCCTCTTCTGCCATCATTTTCAAATTTTGGATATCGGTTTTATTTATTTTAGAAAAGACAATTTTGCACTTATTTGAAGGACTCGATCGGCTACAGTAGCACAAACGAGAACGTATTTTGATTTATTTTTCATCGGATGATTTCTGTTGTTTTAGAGATAAAGACATCAACCAAATAGCTTTTGTTGATCATAAATCGAGTTGTTATTCTTTTTATCTACCAAACTATAATTAATGTTAGCAGATTATAGTGACATGTATAGGAAAAATATGAGTACTAGGAACAAGTGATAGTTCAGCCAAAGTCGTTAGAGTAAAGCATATACAAGAAATATTTTATAAATATATCAACACATTGAAGTCGACGGATTATCTTGCAAAGATAAAAAAATATATATTGTGTAGACATTTGGTCTAAAATGGTAGATATTACGTCGATTAATACAATAGCTGATGTGGACTAAACTGACATTTTATTTCCTAAAGTCCGACCATAATTGACATAACTATGGTATTCACCGGCCGCAGAAGATGTTATTTCATAATTTTGAATCACAGTTTAGTTTTTAGCGACAAATAATACATTCACAGTCTGTCGGTGATGTTGTCGAGTTAAAAATATAAGGACATTATTGTATTGATAATCGATAAGTACTCTATTTTCTTACAGCCAGTTCGTGATTTATTTTATGCAAGTATCTAAAGCCTTGATAACGATAAAAGTAGTAAAAATGGCTAACTGATCGTATTCATTAAAGTTCAATCCAATTTACTTTAATTAACCAAGTTGATTCTTTATTCATACTTTCCTGTAAATTGCTAGATCTATTAATCATTATTATGTTACAATTGCTCTCTGATGTAATTTTTACATCAATTTCTTATTGTTGCTTTTTATAGCTTCGACTATGACATATTGACTGTCTAAAATTAGATTACAACACATGATTCACATCAGTATTAGAACTATAGCAAATGATTATCGGATACAATTCTATCGTCTAATCGCTACGTATACATTAGCTTATTTTTCTATTTCTTCCGTCAGCAATAAATCTAATTATTGACAATAATATCTTTTATCGCCTGCAATTTCGTTGACCGAAAAGGATAAATATGCACCTGTTAAAAAGGAATCATTTAATTTGAAATTGGACCATTGTCCCCATTAACTTTTACTGCTTATTTAACTAAGCCGATAATAATATTACTGGGCTTGGTTTTTGTGTTACACTATTCTTGGTTGCTTGCGATAGACTAATATTAAGTGCTGTTTTATATATAAGCATGTAGATGCAGCTCATACTGTATATAAGCACATAGATGCAGCTCATACTGTATACAAGTAAATGAAATCCGTTGAAAATGATAATTAAAACATAAATCATTTAAATAATAATGAAAAATATCACTTTGTTTTAACTTATTTCATAGATTAAGGCTAGGATTAACATCTAATTGTTGTTTACAACTCTATCATACCATAGTCAATTGAAATTATATGAAGTAATCTTTTCTAATATATGTTATATTAGTAGCGATTTGTCAAATTTTAGCATACAAATATATGATTTTTAGGGGTAATTTCTCGTGATTAGATCATCGTATGTTGTTTTTATTTACTTAAATATTGGCAAGAAGCATTTACTAAAGCTATTAATAATAATTGACATATTTAAAAGAAATCAAATCCGATACAGTATAATTAGGTAACGATGACAAATTTATCAATGATGGAAACAATCAATAGATTTTTTCTTTTTTATGACGTAAAGTTAACACAACGATAAACAATTAAGATTTGTTCGCGCAGATAACTATGATAAATTATCATGTATTGAATATATCCCAGGTGTACTTCATTTTATTGACTAGAATTGATTCTATTCTTTATTTGTTAATAGGAGCAACATCGATTAGTGAAAGTAATTTAGAGTTAACTTAATCATTGATTATAATACTTATAAACAAAAGATAGCAAAAAAGCTGTGTCGTAACAACAATATGAAAAATATTTTTATTCTTTGTTACAGTCAACATTGATTTGATAGAAATCCAATCGTTTTAATATTTAGGATAATATTGCTATGTCACCGTAAGCGACTATCATCGAATAATATGATTCTCGTTGAATTTTTTTCATCAATATAGAGATAGTGTATCGGTATAAGTGATCTGGTTGGCACCGGCTTTGCCAATACAGTATATTTCAATCTAGTATTGTATAACTAGAATTTTTATTAGCTTTTTACAAACTGCAAAGGATTGTTTCATTACATGTTGACCCTGGCATGGATATACTACCTATTGAAATTCTCTTTATTTTAATATTCAGTATTTGCGTGTACCGAGATTCTTCATTCTATCTTAATTTTTATCAGTTTATAATGCGGATAAATGATTCCTTACATGACAAATAGGCATTTTTACAAGTTAAAGTTTGACATTAATCTATGCTAACAAGTTTTCATTTTGTATTAAGATTCAAACTTCGCTTGGTTACAATTTATATTACGTGATTTTAAATTAGATTTGTGAGCTATTATTACGGCTACTCTTTTGTTTATTGAAGGGAAAGATAATTTTGTTATTTCTATTTAATACATTACATTTAGCTATTACTGACAATTTGAGAATGTCGATAAAACTTGCAAAATTGCATATGGGCTTAATTACTAAAGAGACAAAAAATTCAATTTTCTATTAGAAGGATATTATTACTAATTTCTGCATAATCTTTCAATTATTCATAATAGCTCTTACGTCATTTGTCTGTTAAGCATTTTGGTGACGACATTTTTTTGTGCTAAAGCTTGATTAATTGTATTATTACATCCCACCATACTTGCAGTTTATTTTTTATTACGTATTATGGTAATAAAATTTTATAATACAGTAGCTTAGCCAGTCGGGAGTGAGTTCAGAGGGTAACTGCGATATCATGAAAACGACACAAATCATTACTGACGAGGCAATGATTACGTGCTTTATGGAAAAATCGATAACGGCCAATTACATTTGTCTTGATGGAGTCACTAGTTATCGTAACATTTATTACAAATGTCACAGTATTGGTTTAAAAATAAAATGATTGAAGAAATGATTACATAATTGCTTTGTTAAACTGTTTCATTAATCGAGTGATGTAAAATTGGATTCATTTCTCAAGATGTTATAATATGCATGATTAATTAGTACCTTGTTATAACATTCATTTTTCATCGTGCTTTCATATAATAGGTGATGCTTATTAAATATCACGAAATTTCACTAGTTATGCATATTCTATCCTTAAATTACAAGAAGTTATTACAGACGTTCGCATCTAAGTTAATAAATTCACTTCCTTATATAAATAAATATACAGTATACAAAATTTTTAGTATCACATCACAGCTTCCATTACGTTTCAGTAATATTTACGAGAATTAAAGTACATTAATTAGATTATCCTAGAAAAAGCTTTAGTAATTATAATCAATAATACGTAAGGATGAAACATAACCCATATTTTCGCTTCAATTTTCTCACATATTCTTTGTTGTATATAATTAGATAACAAAATTACAAAGCTGGAAGACAATAATGACGTGGGAAGAGAAAGTACTAATAATCCATCACGACTAAATAATCAGGACGCTAATAAAACTTTGAACACAAATATGACCTCTTCAATAGTAGCACCACAACGTGAAGTCCAAGTGTTGCGTGTTACCCCTCCAAATCATGTAGTGCCGACTTACCATAATCAAGTTTTACAACAGATGTTACAAGGTTATGGCAGAAACAATTTTGTAGCAACTCATGATCACATGAATATAACTTCTAAGCCGATAGCATTACCAAATGTTATGCCGCAAATAAATCCGACATTAATTGGTTTGACTGCACCATCAGCACCTCACATACCATTTAACAGACCAATTATGACTACTTTTCCACACCTAGATAATTCACGAATGGTAAACGATCTAATGGCACTTGAGTCTTATAAAATGCAAAAACTAAACAATCCCTTGGTGGGATCTGGTAATGTTGACGAATTTGCTGGAAAAATTCCACCACCATTCTACGGCATGCATGCAACTGGTACAGAGTTATTACCACCATTTCCTGTGATGTTCGATACTTGCCGAAGTGGACGAGAAGAAGCACGATTGAACAGCCCACGCTATGTTCCTAAATTATAACTGAGTCGATAAAATGCATTTGTTAGAGAAATCCTACAACGACTTATGAGGCTTCACTTCATACAACAATTGTTTAGAATCTATAAATTATATTCTGTGACTTCTCTAAATAGCGCTAAATGAATGCAAGCCATAGAGAGAAAGCATCCGTAATTCAAGATACTACACTTTAGCGTGGCTTAATTTTGTTCTTTCTTTGATACCGGTGTATCTTCATAATAGAATACTTCTATCTAAAACGGTTAGCCTTTATTCATACTACTTCAGTTACAGTAAGTCTATAAGTTAGGATCAAATTTCGTATTTAATTTCTAGGTTGACTTTGGATGCATGTCCTTACGTACTTAAAAGTATTGTATAATTCACTTTCACGATGTAATATTTGTGCTAAAAAGTATTCTTATTCACTTGCGCCAATACTTCTAAATATTTTGTGTCGTAACTCGATGCGTGCATATCCAGTATCGATAGATATTTAATATAGCAGTAATAAAATTGCATTAAAAACAATTTGGTAATTTTCAACATGTAATTAATTCATTCAGTTTATTGTAACAGTTCATTACTAGTCTAGCTGAACGTATTGCGTTCGATTAAAATGTTTTTGTTAACTCCTGCTAAGTGAGTGGATGATACTGTATTAATTTTTTAATATAAATAAATCAATGCAATAAATCTTAGCTTATATCAGTAAGTGAAGCATCAATTGTTACGTAGCAGGTGCTGCCTAAATCATAAGCAAGGTAATATAATATTCATCAAATATCCTGGGTTTCGATTATAATACCAACGATTAATTCAATTTAGTATCGATCACTCGTTGGAAAGCATATTAAATTACATAAATTCCGAGATTACCATTAATTATAGATTATATTTAAAATATTGAATTGTATTGAATAGTATCTGCTACTTTATATAGTAATCTTGGATACTCCTATAAATATTTACATTATAATCTTGCATACAAGAAACGTTGTTACTAAGGCACCAAAAATATTTCTAAAGCTTTAACATTGATCAATAAAGATTTGTGAAACATTAATTATTTAATAATAAATGTATTATAGCATTGAAAATGCAACAAATTATAGCTATTCAAGGCTTATGATCGAATAAATTATAACGTAAAATTGAAATTAACGGTAGAGCTAGCCATGTACTAAAGATTACTAAATTTTCATGTAATCTACAGGATATCTATGAAACGGAGCCGATATTAACCTGCAATGCAATTATACAAAATTTTATGCCACCGCGATGATTGTTTCTACCTGCCGTAATAAGCGTTGCTTGGATGAGCTAGAATTGTTTAATACAAAGAATCATGCATTTTCAATTTCATAAAATTTATCGGAGGGAAAGGATAAATGATCAATTCAATTTAATAATGATAAAAATACACGTATACTTAAACTGACGTTGGTGATATTTGTGACGATCATGACATTCATACAATGTCCACATTTGATTTAACTAGAGAAAGAGAATTCATTTATAAATTCTTTGTTTCTGTACTTTATATTCCAATAAATGTGTATAATATTCAACCTCAGTCATTCGTTCTTTAATCAGGTCAGCTCGTTTTTGATGTGAAGGATGTGTCGACAACCACTCTAACTCCGCATTTGATGGGTCTTTATTAGCGAGCATTTCCCAAAAATAAGTCGCAGCACGGACATCATAGCACGCCTTCGTAGCAAAATGATATTTTTTATACAATATCGTTGGACAACGGATGCAAATAAACAAGGTAAGTAATCTAATAGATCAAATAAAATATCAGTAAATCATACTTTGGTTGCAAGGTTACTGCCTATTAAATCAGCTTCTACCTCCAATTTTCTCGAATAGGGTCTATGCAAGCAAATCTAGCATAATTTTCCACGCGAGTTAGTGCATTAATAAGTTTTCTTTATAAAGCTAATACGTATAACATAAGTATACTTACTGAAGCTATAGAATTATGGAACCAATGGGTTACAGCAGCTACAACATCAGTTGGCATTAGTGCCCAAACAAGCCCCAGAGAGACCGCTGCTAGCAGATCGAAGATATTGAAAAAGCTCAATTGTTCAGCCTGTGAAAAATTCGATTATAATTCATTAATTTATCCGCCTATTTCATAGACACAAAGTGACGTTAATACTAATCTGGGACAAAAAAAAATTTAAAATAGAGACATTAAAATTCTGATGTTATAGTCAGTCTTACCGCATGTGATAGCAAGGCATGAGCCATTTCATGTCCTAGTAAGAAGGCTAAAGCATCATCGTTGCCAAGTGTTGATAGCATGCCTTTGTATACAAAAATTTGACCATCCTAAATTATATTAAATGATTATCAGTTTAATTGGATCATTCCATTCGTCCAATAATTGAACGGACATCATGTGCTACTTTCAATATTTTTACATTTATGGTATACTGTTCTATAATATTAATGTTATGTATAGAATTATTATCCATACAAGGATTTATTTGTAGTCATAGCTTCATGGTAAACAAATAAAGTTTCCTAGATTAGAAAGGCATTACCGGTAAAACGAAAGCATTGACTTCATTAGAATCAATTATATTGATTTCCCAATGTAGCGTATTGATTTGAGGGATGTCGCCATTGTTTTTAATCAAGCGTGAAACTACGCTCTTTACTCTATGATATTGAGATGAGGTGGTAGGCAGAAGATGTTCACCATTTGCCTGAATTTGTTCATCGTACAACATTTTCCCTAATGCAATAGATACATTTATTGACAAGGGTAAATTAATCCCTTATACCATATTTTTAACGATTGATAAAATCTATTACTAATTCGTAGTATTGCGGTAGTAGGGTAGATAGAACGAGTGCTAACTATAATTATCATCATCTAGCGCAGTACCTACAGTAGAATACACATAAGTGTATGTCAATATTATTTTATTTAGGTAATCTTTTCATTCTTGTAAATTTACAATATAAATTTCAGTAGTAATTTTCAATAGCGATATATTTTAATATATCATACCTAGTCAGTATAGACCGAGTAATGTTGTAGCGAGTTGGAGTAAACACTGAATACAAATGCTTTACTAGAATTATGAATATATGAATAGTACAGTATTTAAAAGTTATCGTGTTACATCTTTGCTGTCAGCTGGTGAGGAAACTACAGTAACACACATCAGTAAACTTCGCTATAAATTAAAACCATTACCTAATCAAGTGTTATGCTGATAATTATATGTATAATTAATACAATTTATATGTACGCGTATACTAGTCGATCTCTCGCTCGTTATGCCTAGCGTACTATAGTTGTATCTTTTACTTTACATTATCTAATATATGATACAAAATTATCATATCTGCTAATACTAATTATATTCTATTGATACTACATTAACAAACAAGGACAATACAGAATCTAAGTTAGCACTCGTTCTCAGGAATACAAAGATGTAATACCCGAATTGTAGTTGGTGCTGCGTTATGGAAGCTAAAAGATTTGACTAAATCTTATAGTTCTCTAAATTTTATTGAATAGCTGAGGTAGGTTTTTGAATAGATTCCTATTGCTCTTTTGAAATATCCTTGGAGTTACCTAGCTCTTGTAAATGTTCATGGCTTAGCATCATTAATCGCGTTCGACCAGTTAATGGAACGCTTTCGATGTGATTATATATGTAATAAATTCCAGCACCGGTACCGAATAATGCAATAATGTACACTACTTGCTGGTGTCGTTTTAGCATTCGCTTGTAGTTGTGCTTTTTATGAGTCGGTAGTTTATTCCACCAATACTTTGCAATCCTAAAATATGGTATACAAAATTGGTTGATAGTTAGCTTAAGGTAGTTACATGCACTTATATACTTGTATTATAATATCCTGCATAATGCAGTATCATCTCACTATCATTAAATGTATTTTGCGAATGGGTTTTTTAATGATTACAATCTATTCTACGCGAATGTTCTTATAGACTTTCTTAAAAATAATCTAGGGTATTTGTTAGCAATGGCGATAATTTAGTAGTTCATGTTTATTTAGTAATATAATAAATATAAAGCACAGTAACGATAATGTTGCAATGCCTTTCATTACTGTATGCTGTAAACTCGATACCAGATTGTTATAGTTGATCGTCTGCAGTATATTGCATTGGTAGTTAATGCAGCACTGTGATCCCTTTCATACTTGATCAATGCACACGTTTGCAATCGATAATTATAATTTTCATGTAGCAAGACTGATTTGATGTAACTTGAGCTATTTTATTAGTGCTATAATCCGTATCTACGCGCATAGACAAGCCATAATCTCCATGAGCGTATCTTTGCACTATTTTTGTCAATATGACCATTAATGAATAGTAATAATGCTAACTTGATGAATAAATAGGTGTTATCATTATAGGTTGAACAATTTCTCCTAATTTCAAAATGAATTCTTGAGATTCAAGTATTTATACAAGCAGTACATACCTTGCACCCACAATTGCAGCTTTCTTAGCTAAAGGCCCAACTAAAATGATCGCATGATTAGTATTGGTAGTATGAATGCTTCTAGTCGTTTTTAATTGAAAATTTGAGGATGGTTTTGCTATCTTGTTTGCAGAGTTATAGGATAAAATGGATGTATAATTGGTTTTCCAGTTAGTCAATAAACAACGGCGTAACATAATAGAAGACATCCTTGGTTGCTACCGGTACTTTTCTTTCTCTTACATTGCACACACTAGACCAGTGGCTGTCATAGAACAACCAGATTCGACTGTAGTAACTATCAAGGCGTAAATTTGCTGCAATTCTAATTTTAATCAGTACATTTATATTAGTTATGGTTTGACGTAGGCTGAAAAAGGCGTGCCAACTAACTCGTTCTACAGCAAGTACAGGTAATTGAAAGTTGTTTGTTGATAAGTGTTTGATCGATAGTACTCTAAATCACAGTCTAAGTAGCATCTCTATCTTCACTTTATTACAGCATAATGATGAATCGTTGGACTATTTTAATGTCCACTTACTGTATGCAGTGCGCTAGTACTGTAATGCTGTAAGTTTGACAATAATTGTATTTAGGGTTTTACTGTCTGATATACGCGAAGTATCACGGGTGGTTACTGTATTCTACTAGTTAAAATAGTAGAAGAATGATGCAGTAACAAGTTAACAAGAAAAATAATTTTTACCGTAGATGATCTATTGCGTCTTCTTATGATCAATTTACTCGTTTAACTCTACTTTTGCTTTTCCTGTGCACGAGAATGTACACTCATTGTACGGTGCAATGTACTGAATAGTACCGTATGTCATCAAGTACTGTACACTGTACAGCACTTGCATTGCTGAAGCAGTCAGCCTTCGTCAGCCTTATGACCCATGACGAAATCTACAGTACTTTCACCTTTTGAACTGAACTGCAGGTGAAAATGTTATACTGTAGTGTACTGTACAGTACTGTATTACTCTATACAAGCATCGCCAATGTCACTCCAAGCTCCCCTTAGTAGACTTGACTGAGCACTTGTACCATGGACAATTGAGTCATCCGTAGCCGACTCATGGTGACTACAGTACAGTGTACAGTACAGTGTACTGTACTGTACTGTAGTCACCTTGGTTCTTTTTTTACAGGCGTACCGTACAGTACAGTATAGTACAGTATGCAGTGTACAGTACTTTACTGTACTGTACTGTACTGTACACTGTACACTGTACAGGATGGTCAATAGTCAGTCCTTTGTCTTCAAATAGTACTAGTGCAAACTCCCGTCGCTTTGCTGACGGTTTACGATAATGTGCTCATTTAACAGATAGTACAGTATTACCATTTGATAGACCTGTCAGAGTTTACAGTACTTTACTGTACACTGTACAGTAAAGTACTGTACGCACATTACAGTATACAGTGTACTGTACTGTACACTGTACAGTACTGTACAGTACTGTATTCCGCGGAATAATTTTCCACGGGTTTCGCTAGTACAGTACAGTGTACTGTACACTACAGTACAATAACTAGAAAATGATACTGTACTCACTACTGTACTGTACTCTCACTCATGTGCACTGATACAGTACGGCACACAGTCCAGTGCAGCTAATTTATAATACTGTATTTTGTACTGTGTACTTGCATACTCTCCGATTTGGAAAATTCAAGAATGAGTGAACATGAATCATACGGGGAGAATCGATCTTCAAAAAGGCGAAAAAGGAAAGAAAAGAAAAAGTTAGAGTTAATTTAAAGTTAAACTAAGCGTCAATAGTGATATTCGTACCACTTTGCATGAGCATTTTGGGATTTCAATCACTGATAGAGAACGTACTGTACTCTACACTTATACAGTTCTGATCAACAGCTCGAGCAAACATCCCCACCGCTTCTCCTTGCTTCATTTCTAAATTTGTTTTGTCTGCAACTTTCCTTAGGATGAATATTAAAATTTTCGCATGACATGATCTGCTTGACATATCGAGATTCATAAATCGCATTTCTATATTTGTTCCATTCTGCATGCATAGCTACTGGCTATCTTATATGATTATTATTATTATTTATGAATAGAGTTTACTGCAAAGCTCTACAGTATATATATATTAATATATACTAACTAAATACAGCACAGCGAATTACGTACTGTACTGTATGTAAGCCATCGACAGTATGATTTATATTTATTTATATATAGTACGCGTATAATCAATATACGTAATCAGCCAAAATAAATCTAGGCTATGGAAACTTGAATACACGTATGTGATATGCGATACTGCCTCTTAGTGGTCTTTCGTGATCTTGTATTCTGGAATTCAGCACTGTACCCTACAGTAGTTCTAGATCGTGACTGGTGATTAGACTTGATCTTTGTTATTCTGTAATACGTATAATGTCTTTGCAAAATTGCTGTGTGAATACTACTACTGCTAATAAAAAAAGTACAAGTTGAATAGTGTAAATCATTTTACGTTTTTGCAACTATATCATACAGTACTTTCTACTAAACTGAATATGATTTTTTTGGAAAACTTGTTCCTAGTGGATCGCTAACGATAGAAATGCTATTAATTTTATTTTATTCTAGGTCTAAACATAGAAAAGTAAAAAAGAAGAAGTATAGCGCTGAATCACGTAGTCCTTCACTATCGCTATCATCTCAATCACCGTCAATATCAGAATCTGAATTAGCAAATGATTATCATTCCAGAGTTTTACCGGTGGAGGAACAAATAAATAATTTTCGAGAGCTTAGAAGTTATTACAATGACAGGGAGCAATTGTTAAGCCTAGCTATCGATCACTTAAATAATGAATTTGAAGATATAATACCTGAAATTTTACGGGTATGCCGTCATTTCTATATACGTATACAGTCATAGATAGCTGTAATCAGTATATTAGACTGTTCTGAAACCCTAAAAATTGAAATTTTCTTTACTCCTTTGTGCCGCATCGAAGTAGTCATACTTCTGAAAATGGTAGCAATTTTTAACGGTTCCTCTAGTTTACAGAATATTTTGTAATAACTATTACTAATGAAGATAATTTAATAATTTAATTTATGTAATAGTATGCTAGTCGATGTTCAGGTATCGTTTTCATCACTAAAGTACGAGTATCTTTGAATTTTTGTTATTATCAGGAAATTGGTCTGGATGAACTTAAGGCTATGTGTCTATCGGAACTATCGACATTAAAGTCTAATACTTTACGAGACATTTTGGGAATGGAAAGAGCAAGTTCCGATGACGAGGATTTACAAATGCGAGAAGAAGAATTACAACAGTGTCAATCTAGCGACCAAGATATTAGTAGTTCTGCGAGTGTAGACAAGGAAGTCCAAATAGATGGTAACACTCTTGCTGATACTGACGCCACTGCAGTCACTGAAGATATTCAAATAGCCGACAAAAATCCAAACTCAAGCAATCAACAGGGATCCACATCAACGGTTACCGATATACCTGATCGTACCGATTCAACAAGTGATGACTCCGGCTCAGATAATGAGGTGTTGGAAAGAAAATTAAGAGAAAAATTATTAAGGTCTTTACTGGAAAATAAAAAAAAGCGAAAATGCTAGTCCGGCATTTAGACTCAAATGTGGATCTAATTCAGTACTGCCTGTTGTATAGTATTTGTTACACAGTTACGCTAGTTTGTCCTATTTTTTACACTGACTCTGATCAGTATGGCAACATGCTACACGTTTGTATCAAAAGTTTCTTTTCGTGTATTGATGTTGATGTAGTTTTTCGTGCCGACTAATTGGCATGCTTCAAAGTGTACAGCACAGGTCTGCGAAATACTTGTATGTTATTATTCGGATGTATACTGCCGAGTGTACACTTGTACAGTTAGTAATCCATATATTATCATGTAAGTATTTTAGTCTTTTGTTAATTGTAAGTTAATGTTTTTTCAAGACAGTTGTAAATGTCTTAAGAACCTTTCATTAGGAATTTCTACCGAAACAAGAAATGATTTAATTTAATAACTTGTTCATGAAAGTAACCGCTTTATTGTTTGAAGAATTATACAATATAATAACAAATTTATCTCAATACAGATCTAAGATAATGTGAGCGGAAGATGCATGATATACTTTCAATATAATCGCTTTTCTGTTAGTAAATCATTTTTAAATAGATACCATGAGCTGTATCATGCTTGTATGCAGTAGGCTACCTCTTTAGGAATTACTTCGTGTTATTTAGGTTGCGAATGATAGCAATTCAATTCTTATGTCGAGAATTTATGTATTTATTGGGGGCAAAGGCAGGATGAAGTTGTTATTGCACGAGTATTTAATTACTGTAATTTCTCATTGCACGATCAAGACATCTCTGCAGCATACGCAATTTGAGTCTGCGGCTAAAGGTCGTATCAATGGAAAGTAGTCATTTGAAGAGGAGATAATTTACCTAACTTAAAAAGGTCTACATTTCTCAATTTATTTTAAACCCTGCTGTTGCCCGCTGTGATATTTACAATAGAATTTAGACTAGTAAATAAGTACGAATTAGTAAGATGTGCCTCGAGCTTTAAGGCTGTGAACTATAGTAAATCCACTATTTTTCCGCATCGAGCCTTCAGATTAATTTCTCCTTGCTTGGTTGTAACGATTCACCAATAGGTAAGGCAAATACGTGTACTGAAAACGAATTATAATTATGATTAGACGTTGGATACAAAATCAGTTGAGAATTCAGCGGCATTTTGGAGCGGAAATTGTAAAATATTAAATCACGTTAAACAATTTATGCTTATTTCCATGATTGAGATACAGTAAGAACTACTTGAATATCGCAATGTTTAGAAAGGTTCAAAGCAATTTCGAAAAGATGCATTAATAAGTACGTCAGATAGAAAATGCTATGTCAATAGTTATGGGAATAAAAACCAAAATTTAATTACACCTAAAGTTAAATAACGAGAAGTCGCTATGAAAGGAACGCGATCAAATGCATTAATATTCATCGAAATGGTTATTATTAGCAAAATTCAGCTAAAAATATGTGCAACGTTTGGTCAAATGTTAGGAATAGTACAATTAATGAAATCAAAGAAATCTTTTGACACCTTTAGATTTCAATTATCCTTCTAAGCAATAAATCGCGGTAGTTTATCCGTTGTATGCAAGAAATCAAAGAGTCAACGCTGGCATTTCTCAGCAATATATTTTGTCCATGATTCGCGATGACTACACTATTCGCACTTGCTCTTTATGTGTCGTACATACTGCTTACATTTTAAATACAGATTGTGGCTGTGTTAACCTCAACATCTCCGTAAATGAAATTACCTTATAAAGGTACGGTAATCCGTAAGGTACTGTACATCACGAAATTTTAGTGTTTAATACCGTGATGTTAATATTTTTAACAGAACGACGTTGATAGCTATAACAGAATGCAGTAACGTAAATATTTTAGAAGGACTTCTATCGAAACTGATAAGGATGCTGCAAAATCTTAGGAACACAGTTATAACATCGCTATGGGCGTTCTTCACTGGATAACACGAGTACTGTAAGTATAGTACAGTGTACATACTGTACACTGGACGACGAACGTTGTAATGCAGAAACAGAAATCTACTGTACTTGGGCTAATTGCCATTACGTTTCTATGTACGGTCCATCGTTATATTATAATTATATATTAATTATTATTAATGCAGTAGCATCCAAATATTAAAATAGATTCTCTAAATAAAATTATAATAATTATTAATTAATTTCCTTAATGTATCCACTTTTAATAGGTGATACATACGTATAACTCAGGACCGCGCTGTACAAAAGTGCATGTACACTGTAAATGTACCATGGACTTCTAAAGAGAATTTTCTCTCAGAAGTCCCTAACTGTCGTGTACTGTACTTTAATTCTCTTATAAATAGACAACAACACTTTAAAGTCAATCGCACTATTTCATCTGGGGGCAAATAATAATATAGGACGTCGAAATGAAATGAATTAAACTAATTAATTAACTTAGAGAATTTATCGATTTTATGTCTTCCTACATTTGCAAATTGCAAAACTTATAATGGAGGATAAGGCATAATGTCGTTTAGAGTAATAAGAGGTCAATAAAATATTTCGATATAGTTGAGATCGATAATTGTAAATTTAAACCAGTATTGGGTAACGAAAGGAAATGATAAGCAAGGTGCGATGGATGCGCAATTTTAGTCATTATATTGCATGCTAATCAACAATTCAGCACGGGGCTCAATCATAACAGAATAAACCAAATATTACCAAATTTACAGAAACACATTACAATTCAAAGATTGCATAACAGATTCAAAATATTGGACAACAGAAAAGTTAAATGTATAAAGGAAAAGCACTTTCTACGCGCTAGACAATTCCAATCACGATACAGCACTAATTATACTCCTGCTAAGGAATGCAGGAAAATTCGTAACTATCAAACGTAAGTTAAAATAACGATTAGAGATTACCGATGTAGAACGAATAATGCCTACGATAAATTATAAATTATAGAGTATAATTAATGTCACAAATGATGAAAGATAAAAAATAAAATAAAATTAGCCTTTCGATGGTCAATAATAATTAATTAATCGATGGACTGATAGTATGTTGACGTTCAACTGCAGCAGCGTCGTTGGCAGAGCTACAGTACTCGATAGCAAGTTTCGATCAGCATCCATTAGTTTTACCAGTCATGCTAGCAAAATATATTCGCGATGGAGCATCTACTAGCTCACGTCAGCTTTATAATATATCGTGAATAGCCGGCTAGTGACTAGAGCATAGGGTACCGATATTTTTACGTAGATAATTAACATCGAATATGACACTGTCTGCAGAAATGAGGACATAAATTATATTAAGGCTGCCTAAAACTTAGTCCTGTAAAGTACTGTGTACGTGTGTAGTTCTCTGTAACTCGAATAACTTTTCTCCAGTATTAAATTATAAGGTTAATTAATAACGATTTGCATTAACGATTAGAAGTCTTTTTGGAATTATTTTTAAAAGATACTTGTAGCAAACGATTTTCTCCTACATCATAACCGTTTAAATGTAAGATTGCGTTGTAAGCTTCTTCATAATTGACCATGTTGACAAAACCGTATCCTTTACATTTCTTAGAATTTAATTCACGGATGAGTTTTACGTTGTTGATAGCTCCGTATGGCGCGAATAACTGATATAATAAACTATCTTCAGCGTCTTGTGGCAAATTGTAGATAAAAATGCACCAATTATTAGAGTTCGAGTTCTGGCCTACTTTGTGGAAAGATTAAAGAAAAAAAAATGACTACAAAAAAAGGGGAATAAGAAGAAAAAGAAGTGATTACGAGTAAACGACACCAAAAATGCCGGTAATAAATAAATTATAATTATAATGTAAGCATCCCAAATAATAGTGCGACCGAAATATTATTGCTAAATATCAAAAGAAATTCGCACGTATTTCGAGCCAGCTAGATAATTCAAAATAAAAGATTGTTAAGAAAATTATAAAAGAAAGCAGGAAATAGATAAAAAAGTACGTATCTAGAATAAGTAGAATTGATCCTAAAAGCAAAGCAATAATGAATCATAATTAATAGTCATAAACGCAAAAGATAGGGTCGAAAGGTGGCATGATGATATGTGCGTGTAGTTGGATATGCAGACTTTTTTAAAAACGTCGTAAGAAATTAAAGTAAATATCAAAGTTTCGGAATGATTCGAGCTCGAGTTAGCTAACTGTCAAGCACTGGAGAAATTGTGATCATCTCCGTGGTAGTGTTGTAGGACTTTATATAAAAATGATTCATCGATGGATATGTAGACTTTATAAAAAAGTCGTAAGAAATTAAAGTAAATATCAAAGTTTAGGAATGATTCGAGCTAGGGTTAGCTAACTGTCAAGCACTAGAGAAATTGTGATCATCTCTGAGGTAGTGTTCTAGGACTGTCTATAAAACTTAAAAATTATTAATTATTCGTTAATGAACCTCACAAAACCACCCCGTCATTTACACTACTCTAATGTGCCGCCATTGCTGGAGACACAGTTGGGCGCACCGTAGTATGTACAGTACTTTGCTACAGTCCAACTAGAGTCCAGGTGTACTGTACATTGTACAGTACTACTATTGCATTGTCGCGTTAACAAAGGAAACACCAATTCAGGATTCAGGGTTTTTGGGGGAAATTTTTTCTTGGGTTTAAATGCTGATTATAATTCATTATTCTTCACCAATTTTTACCCCGTAGACTAGCTAAACGTAATCTTCAAAGGCAAGAGGATATACAAATGAGTGACTTGAAATTGGATTGGAGATGATTACCTAATGTATTGGAATTGCTTTGAGCAGGGACTGCAGGGCTATCATTAGCAGCCATTGGGCTATAACGGACGCTACTCGATTGATGCCTCATTGGACCTCCATAACTTTGCTGCTGACGCCTAGAATAAGAAGAAGTGGATGGCGGGGGCATCGACGGATCGATACTGGCTGTATTGGTTGGCGCAGATACCGGAGTCGAAACTTGATAGGTATTGTTATAATCTGATTGGACAGGAGGCCAAGCTTGTTGCTGTTGCTGTTGCTGTAGTGGTGGCTGCTGTTGTGGCGGTGGTTGTTGGTGTAATGACTGATGCTGATGGTGTTGAAGAGGTGCCTCTACGATATCCGTATAATCACTGTTTTCCGATGATTGACTCTTTTGATTAGGAGTATTTGCAAATTTGACTGTTAATTGGGCTTGAAATCCATTTGGTAGGGTTTTATTCAAAGCTAATATCGCTGCTTCGGCTTCATTTCTTTTGTCATATCGAACAAATCCAACACCACGGCTGACACCGTTACCATCATATAAAACTTTGGATGTGATAATTGCGCCATACTGTCCAAATAAATTATCTAAATCTTGATGAGTGTAATGCAAAGGTAATCCACTTACGTACAGATTTGCATTTTTAATAGCAGCTGACGAGGGTCTCGCATAACTGACTTTGATTACTTTACTTTGAAGTCTTAATCCGTTCAAAGAGCTAATAGCCTTGTTTGCATCAGCGACGTCTTCGTACTTTACAAAAGCGTATCCTAAACTGTGATGAGAATTTTTGTCTCTTACCAATTTACAGCTAATAACCTTACCACAAGACGAGAACAGTGATTGAATCTCATCTTGAGTCATACTCTGCGGTAAATAATTGACGATTAGATTACTTTGATCAATCTTTTCAGCCATTTTAGTCGATTTTCAATCGTACGAGAAATTAATTCCAAATGTTGGTCCAAAGATTTGAGCTTTTACTTGCTGATACAGTGACATGCAATCACCTATATACTGTACACAGTGTACAGTACAGTACTGTAACACAGCTCAGCTTCAGTACAGTGTACTGTATGCTATACAGTCTTGAACAGTGCAGTACTGTACAGTATACAGTAGTACAGTACAGTACTGTATCCTACAGTGCGAAGAAATCCATTGTACTGTACTGTACCGTACTGTACTGTACTAACAAAAGATTAGCACGTCTCTCGCTGAGGGTCCGTTTAAGGACCACTAGGAAGCCTAGTGGACTATGCTACTATGCAAATGATGCTTCCACCTTGAATACACTGAAGTTGCTGCGGACTTTACTTTTGCGTTTTGGCATCGTTTGCAGATCTCTAGCTCGAGCTATACCTAGTTGCATCGAAAGTGATTGAAAACCGATCCAACAACAGTGGTGCATGCGACTTTAAATAAATAAATTTGGTAACGGCTGGCATTTACTGGTTTCTTTCGTTGTTGCCACTCCAAGATGCTAACACAACCCAGCATTTATTTCTATTAGCAGTCTCTGTACGTTACTCATAAATCTGGCTGTTATTGCTGGCCATCCATCTGGGTGGCTAATTAGCCATAAGAAAGCCGTTGATGATGCATTTGCGTTGCATACAGTTTTAGCGTATGATTCGCAACAAAATGTATGCACTGATATAGGCAAATATTCCTATCTGGATATTCTGTTTGATTTACGGAAACCTCGCATTCCTGCCAATAGAAACTTGGGTAGTGACCCTACAATACCAAAGGTACAGTTCTTTTTTTATGGTGTCTTGCTGAAACTGTACTGTATGATTGCTTAATAGCACTTTATGCTATTATTAATCGTAAATACTAGTAGAACTCTCGCTCGTGATACTTTACGTACTGTACTAGTACTTTTACTTTACATCATCTCGTGTGCAGTGTATGTATATAATTTTCATAAAAATATAATAAATACTGTCATTAATTACTAATGATTACGGAATTATTGTCTTATTATTCTTTATACAAGAAAAAGAAACGTAAGAGGAAGGCACCTGTAAACATTGGAGAGCTTCAACAGCTACAGTATCATAAGAAGGTATGAAATATGCGTTATAGAATATGGACTGTTTAGCTTAATATATGACGTAAGCCATTAATTTAATGTGAATCTGTGCTAGGCAAGTTTTGCTCTAAAATTTAAAAGTTTATTCTATTTTTTGATTACTTATTGATAAAGGCGATAATTACTCTACCAAATCGTGTAGTTAGCCGTGAATTGATTATTTCTTAGCCGCTTAACTAAATTGTGGCGTGTGCTTTCAAGAATTCAGCGACAATTATAGCATAAGTGTAAAACTTATAATTATTACTGTATTTATTTTATAGGTTAGGAATTGCATCGTTGCGAGCTATCGACAAATATTGGATTCTAGTTTAATAACCGGTTATTTTCTGGAAGGTGGAAATATGCGTAATAATACTGAATCTTTCAACTCTGAGGGGGAGTTACAACAACATACACTTTTACCATCAGGTATAACCACAATATTCGTTGCCATTTATTGCGTGTTTAGTATTCGCCTAAATCGGTTGAGATGCGCTAGACTACTCAGTTTTTTTTAATTGTTGTATATTAAAATAAGCAGATACTTTCAATATTTGTAGAGGGATCTTCATGCCTATTATCACAATTATGCAGCTTATCGAAAATTACTACTAATGTTGACGATTGCAATCCTTTCTTAGTAACTGAGAAAAATATTTGTAAGTTTCTTAAACTGATATAAGAGATCATATAAGGTGTAAGATTGCATGTTATTAGCTATGTTTAGCTTGATATTATTTATTTTTCTTACTATTTCTATTTTAGGCAAAATTTCAAACCCGAATTTTTATGCGTTTAATCGGCTAATTAAGAATACTCTCCTTCAGCCGATTGCCATTGAAGTAGCCGGTGGAAAATACTTTGTACCGCCGAAAAGCAAATTTGTAATGTCAGATATTTCTTGTCTGGATGCTTTACTGAAAGGCAAGTATATGACTATAGCTACTGTATTTATCACTTGTTACTGTTACCAAGACTTTGTAAGTATAAATGTAAGTACTGCCAGTACTGCTATTGCTATATGATGTAGAAATAGCTTATGTATGTTACTTCTCAGTATAGGATTTGTTTACTTTAATCGTCATGCTTCGTTCCTTTAGCAAAGCCTAAAGATGGTTATGACTTGATAGTAATCGATCCTCCTTGGGAAAATAAGTCAGCTAAGAGAGGCAGTCAGTATGTAGCGTGATGTGATCAAAATTACAACTTTAACTAAGTGTGATTTGAAAGCAAAGAATTGCTTGCTGTTAACTACCTTAAAATGACTATGTTTATAGATATCATTGGTTAACGACCGATCAGTTACTTCAGTTACCCATCACAGAATTACTGGCCAGACATGGACTTGTCGTGGTATGGATTACTAACAAACAGAAATTGTTAAGGGATGTCAGAGATGTATTGTTTCGAGAATGGAAATTAATTGAAATAGGAGAATGGCATTGGATTAAGGCATGAAGGATAAGAATTCTGCGCTTTAAATTAGAAAGTAAAATTATAAAAATGCTTACTTTCTTATTTTTTTCTGTTAGCTGACAACTGGCGGTGAATTTGTATATGATCTCGACTCTAGTCACAAGAAACCATATGAAATTTTGCTGATTGGGGTGAAATCAGGGCTATCTGAAGATCTCCCAAGTGCATGTAGTTCAGAGTTACCTGAAAGTATTGCCGCTTTTCCTAAACATAACGTTATTTGCAGTATCCCATCATTGGTTCATTCACATAAGCCTCCTCTTGATGGTAAATCGATCGGTTTAATTTATACTATTACTAGAAATTTCTAAACGAGTACAAGCTCGATTTTGGATGCCTTTCATATGATTAGTATCCATTTTAGATTTGAAAATATTTTACTGCAGGTATATTCGCTCGTTTTATCCGTGAACAACCTAACTGCTTGGAAATGTTTGCTAGGAGTTTGATTCCTCATTGGACAAGTTGGGGAAATGAGGTCTGTGATTCTAAAAAAATTTTATATTATTTAATGTGGCAAACGTTCTTGATTCGTCCTTAGAGCTAGTACCAACTTTTGTTAAGTTTTAGTTAGGCTGTATTGGTTGTAATAAAGTTTAAATTCTCTTGTAGGTCCTTAAATTGCAGAATTCAGTATACTTCAAGAAAATACTGTAGTTTTTCATTAGGAGAAGGCTGGATAGAATTATGTAACTACCAATAAGGATCCTTTCATTGAAATTGGACGAGGATTGTTTATTAATCTATATCTATCTGATCTGATACCTTACTGTAAATACTGTAGATTACTAAATTATTGATAATACCAAATTCTGCCCTCTTTTTAGCTTTCCAAGAAAGAATGATGAGTTGTGTAAAGTTATTAACACACTTGAATTGCTTATCAAGCGTTAAGAGATTCTTATGACTGTACTGTATATTATCCTGTTCTGCGTATGAGACATCACTGTACTTTTAAATCGCTTTTCTGATACTGTCATATCGTAATTTCGGTGGTACAGTGATTTACTACTGTAACTGTATCTTATTCTATGGCATGGGTCTACTGTATTGTGAACTTCTTGCTCTGTTGCGCTCGAGATGAAGAACAGTTAGTTTATGTACAACATATCTTCATTGGCTGATCGCTTCAAAAGTGATTCACGGAAGAAGATTGAAATCGATATACATTATTCAAGTGTAATAAACTGCGCAGTAATTTTCTGTGCATTGCTCTAGAAAGCAAATCAACTCTATCTTCATAATGATTTCGAAAATTTTTTTCTCCAGCAAATGGAAATTGCCAAACTCTATCTGATGCTAGAGTATAGTCAAGGAAAATTGACTGCATATCCTTGTGAATTATGGCGCATTTATTGGTATTTGTAGTTTGTACTGTAGTGAAATATTAAAACATTGCAACTGTCAAGAATTACTAGATACTTTGCCAGTAAGGTATCTAGTCCGCTGCAGAAGTACAGTGAGGTCAAACTTTCTTTTAAATGGTGTAAATCTGACTCTTTCAAAAGGAGAGTCTGTTGCAACTTTAAATTGCTATCCTAGCTCGCGCGGTTTGCTTTTGAGTTAGGATAAAATAGGGAAAAGCTCTTTTACACCTTTCTCTATCCCTTTCATAATGTGTCTTTAATGCAGTTAAAATATTATATTTGCTGTTAATATTAAAAAAAATAAATACTTGGTGTTTACGTCATCGTTTGAATGCTTAAGATTACTTAGGATTGTACACCTGTCGATTGTTTGCTTCAGTACTATACTGTACAGTACAGTACAGTACAGTGCTGTACTGTAGACTGTGTACTGTACACTGTACGGATTCGCGCCTGGCCATAGCAATCTGACGTTGCCCGCCGTTACTGTATTCCAGTAACTCATCCAGTACTACTAATGTGCTCATACATATAATATTGTATGATACTGAACTGTACAGTACATTACATGTGAAGCTGGGGTAGTGGAGGAGTCTAAGATTGTACCGTAGTCTGTCCGGCAGTAAATAAAAGCGCGACGCGCAAGCTAACAGTAGTAGTCTTACCATTGTACAGGAAAGGCAATTCCACTACTAATGTACTCATACATATCATACTGCATGATACTGAAGTGTACATTACATGTGAAGCTGGTATAGTGGAGGAGTCTAAGATTGTACCGTAGTCTGTCCGGCAGTAAATAAAAGCGCGACTCGCAAGCTACAGTAGTACAGTACAGTACAGGTAGTCTTACCATTGTACAGGAAAGGCAATCCCACTACTAATGTACTCATACATATCATATTGTATGATACTGAAGTGTACATTACATGTGAAGCTGGTATAGTGGAGGAGTCTAAGATTGTACCGTAGTCTGTCCGGCAGTAAATAAAAGCGCGACTCGCAAGCTACAGCAGTTAGTCTTACCATTGTACTGGAAAGGCAATTAAGGCAATTTGCTTCTTATTCATACACAGTGTGTTTATGTCCAGGAGCTATACGACGAGGCTCGCAATTGAAAGTAAAAAATTTCCTTGATAAAATGTCAGACGAGGTCGAGAAAGTAGAGGATAGAGCTGAAGGTATGTACTATATTAATGATGAAGATCGTTGCAGATTAGATTATTTAATGGCTTGGAATATTCACCGTAAGATTGTTCCAGATGTGTCTAGTGTGTACGCTAGCACTGCACCACATTACCATCTATGGAGTAGGTCGATAGATGGTAATCTCTTTTCAGCATATTAAATTAAAGCACAAACAACAGTGAAATTGATTGATTCTACACTAATATATCGTCTCAATTGGCATTGCTGATGCTACTGCTGTACTCTTTTATGACTATGAAAGAGTAAAAGATTCTAGAAAACCTCAATTTACCAATTAATGGACTGTAGTATGTATCTATTGTACTGGCTCTTTACTGCTTGGCTGTAAGATCAAAGCATTCGTCCTGTGTATAGTACAGCCGGAAAAATAGCGCTTCTAGCTTGGGTAGCAATGCTTTGAATCATAGAATATGCGTTTACATCTTGTCTGTCCAATAGTACCATTTCCTATTATTGAAAAGTTGTAGTAGTAGAATAAAATTCTATTCACTGAACTTGCATTGATAATGATATGTCCAGCGCGTTTCATTCCAGCCATTATACTGTATAAATTTATTGTAAATGGACAGCACGGTATAGTAGTTTACTACGTAATCCCTTGAAATGATGCGCTTTGTGACTACAGTTCCTACCTAAATGCTCGTTAAGCTGAGATCAAATATCATTTTCATGTTTCATTGTTTGGATGTACTATATAGTATACACAATTTATAAATACAAGGATATTTAAAAATATTCTCTAAAAATGTACTATCATTTTTAGTAGCGGAGTCGAATGAAGATCACGTCGGAAAGGTAAGAATCTCTGAATAAACACTTTGTTCAAAAATTATTCCCAACTAATTAATGCCTGATTTGGATGGTCAATTTTACTGGCGTAGCTGTATCATATATGCTTAAACTTACTATACATAAAAGGAAACTTGCATAGCAGTGATCGTTAGCTATACAATGAGTAATTTTTTCTTCATTTGCGAGAGACTGTACAGTATATCGTAAAGTTCTCAACCTTTCTCTTTCTCGTCATGCAACTCAACTTTAAAATTAGCGTATTCGATGAATTAGAACGTACTCGTACCTTCAACTATACACATAATAGTCCTTCATGTTAGTATACAAAAATTCGATAATTATATTATAATACTATTATAAATTTTAAATTTTTGTACTTTGTATGGATCTTCAGATATCTACGGGTAGGTGCTCTTTTTATGCACTATGCTCTAGTTACAGCATGATAGCAAACGATGTGCAGTATTAGCTTTGACTTTAACAATCCAACATTCTTACTATTGGACTGAAGTAAGTTAGTGATCGTTGACTAACTTTAAGTGGGAACGTACTGTATATCGCAGTCTTTAGACTTGTGAACCGTAAAACTTCATTTTACAAAGTTGCTGAAATACTGTATAATAAATTGAAGTAAATTTGTAATCCATAAGCTCATAGGATTCTGAGGATAACACAAATCAAATGGATAATTGTTTGACTGAGTATCGTTGTGCTACTATAGACTGTCTACAACATGAATATGTCAGTACTGTTATGATAATACTATCACGCCATACAATTGTAAATTTGTGCACAAATTCATGAAATAGTAATGCGAAGAAATTTCATGCCTACGATATAAATAGCCATTTACGGGATGTAGGAGTATACTCTTCTCACAGTGGTTAAGTTCAAAGTAATGTAAAATTTTGAGAAAAATTAATAAATTATTATCGTTTTAATTTAATTACCTACTTTTGCAAATGCGGACCAATATATATGCAGCGAAAACTTGAAGAAGAAGAAGAAGTAAAAGGTGCGACTAGTCTTAACAAATAGATAAACAAAGTAAAAATGTTTAACAACCAAATGGATCTTTGATTTGGTTGAGATATAATATTTACTTTCTAATAATAAGGTCGTGATCATTTTATAGAAAACAACCAAGAGACGGAAGGTCCTGTGATGTTTACTTCACAGAATACAGAATATTACAATTTTTTTTTATTAGACGTACTTAAGTGTTCACCATTTACGTGATAATGCCGAGTTATGGACGGCAATGCATTATTATTAATATTAATGCTATCTTTTTTGGATGTTTAGAATGTAAACGTAAGAAAACTTCGCCTGACGAAGGTGAAACTGGTAAGGATTTGATAATTACATCAGTGGTACACCATCATTTGCGTATTATCTTTTCTTAATCCTATAAAATATCTAATATCTTTAAATGCTTTAAATGTTATAAAAGAAAAAGAAGTTTCTGCGATAGGTATAAAATATTGACTATAGCTTGCTGACATATCATTATGACATGATTACATTAGAAATTTACGATTAAACTTTTATTAACGGAGTTAGCCTACTAGATAACAGTATTTGATGATAATGTTTTTAATTAATTTAGTAGCCTCTATTACATTAGTGATTTTATTTTTGCACCTATATTATCGTACTAAGTTAACATACTGCAGTAAATACTTTAAACATAATTTTCAACATTTCTGATCACACTTAACGGATACTGCTAAGTTTATCCTTATGCAAATCGTAGGATCTGATATGGCGAGTGGTTTCTTCGCTCCATCCCGACTAAAACCAGCAGCTATTCCTGTTATGCAATTTACTAACTTAACAAGTATATGCTAATGATGTTTTTGTAAACTTAAATTTATAATACTGTTGCTTATCAGTGATGTACTTTTACTCATTGCAGTTAGTAAAATTATATGAAAGTTTGCTTTAGTAATAAGCTTTATGCAACTGCACATTACTTCGTTACTACCTACTAATGTTGATAACTATTCTTGTAGGCGAATCATCCAGTTCCTTCGGTGGCTCTGCATGGAAAGAAGCATTGGTATGTTAAAAAATTTTACTAAATATGGATACAAATTTTATAAATTTACAATTATTATGTGTTTAATTATATAAGAAACTAATTTTATTGCAGAATATCAAGCAACCATTCTCATTCATGAGTTGCCATAGTGAGAGTGTGAAGAGTTCTAGCAGTAACCAGGATAATGATAATCTACCAACAAAGGGCGACAATTTTGCTTTAAACGGTGATGATATAACGAAAGAAAACATTTTTCAGAAGTTTCTAAAAAAAAATGATTCCCAAAATGCGAACTCAAAAAGCGAAACTAGTGAAAATAATCCATCGAAATCCGATACCAAAGTATGAGACGTAGGAATTAGAAAGTTATAGCGGCAAATGCATGATGTTGATATTATCCCAATTTACTTATATACAATAATGCATTGTTTACATCTATAAAGATTACGGAAGAATCAGACCCGGAAAAAACACAGAAAATTAGCACTGAAGTTCAAGAAAGTAGCAAAGACGATGCAGAAAAGAACGGTAACACATAGCTTCTTTTTGCATTACGTGCAAATGTTGAAGAAGAATCTGTCGAATTATTGTTATTTATTAGATACTGTACACTCTAACGTAGTAATGCTCGACTATGGTTGAATATGTAGAACCTAGCAGTTCCAGTTTTGAGAAATCTCTGCCAATTGGAAGTACGAAACTCGATAGAAAATATGAAGAAGTTCCAGTGGTCACTGGCGAAGAACACGAAACACAAATGATAGAGGTATTGGTCTTTACATATTGAAATTAGACTATGCTGTTGTCAGAAGTTTTTTTCACTTTTTTGTACTCTTATTATTAGATGCCTTGTCAATTATATAAGTTTGTACCATCTTCGAAAGTATGGCAAGAATGTGGCAGAGGAATTTTACATTTAAATGATTCAAAATCGCCAGATAATGAAGTATTGCAATCTCGAATAGGTACATTTTCTTATGAAAGATATAAGCTATTGCTACGAAAATGGTGGACCAATGTTAATTTCATTTGTTCTTAATGTACCCTTTTGTACTAGTTATTAGGGCTAACGCTACCCATCGAGTTATTCTTAATACAAAAGTATGGCCGAAGATGAAAGCTGAAAAAGCGAATAGTACATCACTACGTTTTACGGCATATGATATGAACTCTGAAGTTTGTATCTATTTAATTCAGGTAACACAGCATCAATAGTACCAGATACTGGAGTTATCAAAGTACACATAAATTATAATATACATTTTTTAAAATTTTGATTATTTAGTCTCGAAATTCGGATCTAATCAAACAACTGCAACAAGCCATCGATGTTCGCACTAGATCACTCTAATTCTATTTTAAGTATAGAGCTGAAAATATTTGTGGTATTTATGATCTCATGCATGAAAGACTTTGTACATTGCAGGAAAGTGCATACAGAAGGTGCACAAAATAGATGTAATGATATCGTTTAATGTAATTAAGCTTCCAATGTATCTAGGAAGGTTGAATTATCAATTTACACACGAGTATGTAGTAATTGTTACAAAAAGATTGAACGTTTAATAATGTATACTTTATGCGTATTTGTTGGTATGTACCTTCGTCTTCTTCTTTAGTTAAGTCAAGCGTAATGCCAGGTGGTAGCTGTAAATGCTCGGGCATTTTTTTGGATACTACAACCATAAAAGTACTAGTCATTAAATTTTCTTTATTTTAAAGTGATTTGATCGGGATTAGGATTATTTTTTGCAAATGTTATGCAAATTAGAGTACATAAACTAATTTCTAAATTCAAAGCCTTAAACGCATACAATAAATAAAATGGTAACGTGACTTATCCCGCGATTTTATCTTAATTATATAGTCTACAGTATCATTTTTCAATAATCAAGGTATCCCTTAAGTTTATATGGGGAATACGGCCTAAAATTTTGTAATATGGATCCTCACACTGACATTTACCAATATTCAATTACCAGTCAATAACTACTTAACAAAATGAATATTTATTTTACACTACAATTTTCCAAATGTCTAGGTAAGTCCAAACAATTCTAATAGCTATAGACCACTATTACAGGGGCGTGGTGAGCCCTCTAAAATGGTTGAATACTGTATGTTAAGCTATGGTGTTGCCTTAAATTATGCCTTTAAATTGTGAAGAAATGTACTTTAAATTTGGCTCGAAATTCCATGCAGACAGATCAGTACAACCTTGAGCTATTGGCTCTTGATATTTTTATTACATTTTATCGCAGTATTGAATAATTCTATTTCTTTCAAATTTCTAATACAAACTATCAGTCGCTGTTACATGTTCGTGAACTCCAACTATTTTACAAGTCACGTCGTAATACCGGTCTATAATAGCTGTTAAGCGAGTCAAATAAGAAAAGAAAGCAAATATTGGCATAACTGCATTAACAATAATTATATAATCGGGTTTACTTTAAATTATATTGGTATAACAGCAATATGATGATCTTCATGTATTTCTCGCTGCAAATGACACTTTATCGTATATTTCTGAAAAAGCATCTTTGCAGTTTGGAATGCTATCTCTTAACTTATTATACAACGTGTGATCAAACATCTTGTAAAATTCTTCTCTGGTCATGTACGAATCCGCATATAGCATTTGAAATCTGAGATAAATATTAGAATGCTTTAATTGAAGTTTACGGGACGAGCAAGTTTATTAAAATACAGTACTTTAAAAGATTTTACCCTTTAACACTCGTAACAAAATGTTCAATTCTTCGGATAGTTTCTTTTGCGACGAAATTTTCAACTTTAGGCTCACCGTAAGCTCCTATATCAACATACATTTCTTCCACCTTAGATGCCGGTTTGACGAATCCAGGAACTTTATATAATTTCATAGGACAAAGCCATAACGGATAATTCTGAAATAAAAATATATAATATACGAATACCAATGCGTTATAGCGAGTTATTTGCTTCCATCGGATTGCTGAGAGCTACTAGCTATCATTTGCTTTACCATATGTAAATGAGAGACTAAATAGTCAACTACAATGACTGAAGGTTTATTAATGTTAATATGTCAATTACTGTGCCAATTGTATAGTTCTGCCGTGTTAGAGCGATAGCAAGGCATTAACGTAACTATCAGTGTTTTCAGTTAGGCTTTGCTTAAAAATTTTAAGCCCTAACTGCGCCAAAGCTATCAATTAATTCTTAGTACTACAGTTTAATATATATATTTAGTATCAACACTAATTAACTTACTTGAAATTCTTTTTGAAATACGTCTAACGACTCGTTGAGACGTTGCATCGGCACAAGCATGTCTTGAACAATTTGGTGTTTCTCATACAGTTTTTTAATTGCTTCGGTTTGGGTTAATTTTAATAAAGAAATTTTTGGAGGTGTCATCCAACCAAAAAGATAGCGAAAAATTACGTTGTTACCAAATGGAATAATATCCTATAGAACATGTATATCGTAAACTAGTTAGAATACCTATCGTTGGTTAACTGCAATGAAATAAATTAAGCTAATTACTATGGCAAATTTAAAGTATCTCAACTACAGTCCTATACAAGAAGCTAACTGCTGATATCATCATGCCTGTATCTCCCAGAAAATACTACGACTGTGTCGATGATAATAATGTCGTAAAGGAATATATTCCGTCTTGGGCCCTCCGCGCAAAATATTTTCAACATATTTATAAAACCATGGTTTCCAATAATCGCCAATACGGTTAATCTACATATACAATGTTGCAAAGAATAGCTTATCTTTACAAAGTTTAAATATTATTAGCTATACCGAACACACAACCATTATATTTATAGAAAACTGTTGCTTATCTCATAAAATCAAGAATAATACAGTAGTCATATCTCATGGTTGGATAAGATAGCCTTGGTTCGACAGTAGATTGTAATACTGTAACTGAGATATATTAATAATTAATATGAATTGAGAATGCTCACTTTGTCTGGTTCTACATTGTCGGTCATGGTCCCAGTCATAATAACTGCCTCTTCAGAACTATACATCAACCCCTCCACAAAATCGTTAGTTTCATCATTGGATGCCTCTTCAAATAACTTTATGCTTTCACCGCGGCTATGACTAGGTTGATAATTCAGCTTGACATATTTCTTTGCAGGTACAATTTTGATTTCTGCGCTTACAAGAAAGCCTAGCGTTCCATACGACCAGGGTACAGCATAGAATAGATCAGAATTCTCCTTCTACAAGTGATTATATGCAAAGTGAGAATCTCTCTTACAGTATAAAGTGTAAGCTATTAACCTTTAAAGTAAAAGATATTATGTAGTATACAATATGTATCCTCACTCCTTATTTTGCATACCTCATTAGCAACGACCACACGACCATCACTAAGCACAAGCTCATACGATACACAAATATGTTGAAATAATCCATGAACATGAGAGGAACTTTCAACCCCAGTGCCCATAATCAGACCACCTGTTCAGGTATATCATTTAGCTCATGATTTGAAATGTGGCATGTAGTATGTAGCCTTTGCTACATACTTTTGTAATGTTGAAGTTGCAGTTATAGAGTGCTAATAAATATTTATCAGTGCTCACCTACTGTTAAATCATCGAGTTCAGGTAACACAGCCAAAGTCCAACCTAGAGGATTAAGCGTTGCGCTAATTTGCCCCATGGTAGCTAACGGTTCTACGGTGATAGTTTGACGTTTGGTGTCTATATTTAATATATCTACCAAATTTACTGCAATTTGATGAGATCTTTTCTTATATTGCCCAGGCCTTAAAGAAACATTCATCCAGCCAGGTCTAGCAGTACACATTTTCTTACGTGGTTGTGAGTTTTGCCATTGCTTAATCTGATTTTGGACATTTTCGACTCTCGATTGATGTTGTTTAGGAGCGCTTCTCATGGCAAAAATTATCTTGTTGCGAATAAAGAAATAGATATCGAAGAAGAAGGAAGCAGGCAGGAGGAATAGAATGACAAAAACATAGCGATACTTGATGACAAGATACTCCATGCCAAGCGATCTAAGATGAAGTACGAATCCAATCAACCCAACCGCAATTACGGCCGTTGTTAAATCGATAGGACTAGCGTCTAATAGATTCAATCAATGTAAGATTGATACAATAATTATAATTAATAGCTTAGAGATTATCAACAAGCAAAATGACAGAATTGCAATCACGTAAAAGTAATGGAAGAGATTGGGAAGAACACTGAGGAGGTTTTACTTTAACACCTCAAGCTACAACGAACATCAGATGGATGTTGAGGTGGGTACATGGTTCTAACAGTAGGTGGATTTGTATAGTATAAATCAATGACTCATACTGCATTTGACACCGGAAATGAAGGATATCTTGCCATCTTCTATCTTAAGTTGTATCATTGTTTTTATTTAGCTGAAAAATCTAGAGTATGCTACAGTAAAATAGCAGGAATAGTGTTAGTGTATTTACGAGTATTACACAAATTTAGTAGCACAGGAACTTCATGCATTGATGACGCATATGCGCAGAGTAAACTACTTTGATACTTGTAGGTTGCAGCGTTTTTTTTACATTGACCGGCATGGAAGGCTAGCAAAGTAATCTCTAATAATGCACAGTACATGCAGAGATGATACACAGTTTGCATAAACTAACTACTAGCCAGTAAGACGCGACGTCATAAAGCAAGGGATAAGCCGTGTTAACCTCCTGTGCCTAATGATTCATTTTCAAATTACCAATTATTTAATGTATGCGTATGTTATTCATGCAGAAATTGTTCGTTTGGCTTGTAATTGATTGATTTCAGCAGTTGAAAGCTAATCACTTTCAAATTATTCGAATAGCACAACATTATTAGAATATTAGCAGATAATGTGTTATTACCTAAGGTCATGGTGGTGTCGTCGATAAGTTTCTCTTGCTATAAATTAGATTGGATACAGCAATTTTGATATGGCAGAGCTAGCTATTTCGTAACCTATTAGACGGATTTGTAGCCGCCTGTTGACACTGCGCTGTCTGGATTTTTGATACCAGGCGTAGTAGTTACGGTAGTATCACGTGAAACGGCACACGGCCACGGGCATACAGTACGATACTGTACTTGCGTATACCGTAATGCAAAACGGATACCGTGCGTGCTATACTGTACTGTACTGTACAGTGTACAGTGTACAGTACAGTGTACAGTAAAATGACTGTACAGTACAAAGCACAGTAATACCATAGGGAAAAGATTAGACAATGGACAGTAACACTACTGTATCACTGTATTACATTACAGCTACAGTATGGAACTTGCAGAAAGCTTTCATTAATAGCAACACTGTACAGCACTTATTGTGCTGTACAGTACAGTACAGTACAGTATTTCAAACCAAAGGATACAGTGATAAATACTGTACTGTACAGTACTGTACTACAGTATAACGTCACCAGCCTCCACATTGTTCGTACTGTAGTGTACAGTAGTGCACTGTACTGTACTGTACAGTACTGTTGGTTCGTAAACATGGCTTCTTTTAAAGGCATTCCAATGACAGTTGGCTTTAAAACAGTCAAAACTAAACCAAAGGATACAGTGATAAATACGGTGGCTCACAAGATGCGTACAGTACTTTTACGCTCAGGTCCTTATCAAACAAGGAAGGGATACGCAAGATGTCATACGGAGCACAGTAACAAGCTACGCATGCGGACAGTACCTTTACGCTTAGGTCCCTGGTTAAACAAGGAAGTGAATACGCAAGATGTCATACGGACCACAGTAACACTGTACGCATGCGTACAGTACTTTTACGCTCTGGTCCTTCTAAGGGAGGGAATACGCAAGATGTCATACGGAACACAGTAACAAGGTACGCATGCGTACAGTACTTTTACGCTCAGGTCCCTGTCAAATAAGGAAGGGAAAATGCAAGATGTCATACGGAGCGCAGTAAGGAGGTACGCATGCGTACAGTACTTTTATGCTCAGGCCTCTGTCAAACAAGGAAGGGGAATACGCAAGATGTCATACGGAGCACAGTAACAAGGTACGCATGCGTACAGTCCTTCACGCTCACGTCCCTGTTAGCAAACAATGGAATACGCAAAGATGTCATACGGAGCACAGTAATAAGCTAAGCATGGAAGGGAATACGCAAGAATGCAAGATGTCATACGGAGCACAGTAACAAGCTACGCATGCGTACAGTACGGAGGCTCACATTGAGCCACCGTACAGTAGAATGGCGTAGATAAATACAGTACTGCACTGTACAGTACAGTACTGTAACGTCACCAGCCTCCACATTGTTCGTACTGTAGTGTAGCGTACTGTACTGTACTGTTGGCTTTAAAACAGTCAAAACTAAACCAAAGGATACAGTGATAAATACTGTACTGTAACGTCAACAGCCTCCACATTGTTCGTACTGTACAGTAGTGTACTGTAGACCTGAGTGTAGTGTACTGTACAGTACTGTACTGTACCGTTGGTTCGTTTCCTCTCCCCGTCTCTTCTCTGACCTCACTGCTTCAGTGAGTTCAGTCTGTCTGCCAGGGCGCACCGTTAAATTCAAATTTCTACTGTACTGAGTACAACGTAAGTGTCGACAATTATTACACCACAGTATAATAATAATTATTACTATTATTATCATAATCGACGCGTATTTCCAAAGACTCTCTTCAATCTGTTTCAGAAAAGGAAAATGTCAGCGTCAGTTGAAAGCAGTCGAAAACGCCGAGCTAGCTCCAAAGATACCTGTAACAGTCACAGTGTTGATGATCAAGCGGATTCTATTGGTATCTTTATGAGGGTTGATATGGAAGTTGACAATTTCAAAGAACAATACAACAAGGAATCGCTGACAGAAGTTATGGCTGGTATTAAAAATGTTTGCCAACAGTTAACGAAAGATGAATGGAAATATAGGCCCATTAATGAAATTATTTAATAATGATCATCACTCTTTGGCAATCCTACCTTGGAGTAAACTTTATCTATGACAATCACATAACTATACTAATCTGTATCATAGCTATTTCTTGCTAAGCTAAAATGAAATGGTCCTAGTGCATCTCGTACTGTGCTTGAAATCAGACTATGCCAATTGCACTGCATGAAATCAATTGTAGATTATACTGTAAATGAATAAATGCGCTCGATGTCATGATTAATACACAGATAAACAGTTTAAAACACCAAACTGATGTGAATTTGTAACTGTACAATTCTGGCTCTTACTAGTAACTAATGGAAGAAATTGAAGACTGTTTTCTAATTCAAATTTCGAAATCTTTTGTCCTATAAATAATTTGTTATGTAATTTTTACTTTATGACCAAGAAATAGGACTACACACTCGATAGTGCTTTCAATGAATATATTCTGTCTAACTGATAGAATAAGCTAATCGGTAAAGTTGTCTAGTGTATAAAATTTGTATCAATTTAGTTACACAATTGATCCTAAAAATCTCTTCTATTACTCTTACTCACAATAAAATTCATATGCAAATGTACTGTATAGCAAGTATCTTGTATCATAAATACTGGATTCAATTTTGTACCCTTAGAAGAAACCCATGACAGCTCTCATTCCAACACCAATTTATGCGTATATGTACACTATATGGTATAAAATGAAAAAGGATTATAGAAAATTTCTTCAAGTACTCTTCATCATTCGGACAATTATGATCCAAGCACTTCATTTCACTACTGTTGATACTCTATCACAATATAGTATTAAAAGAGTATAGAGCTGTCGCTTCAATGATATATAGCGCAACAGCTACTTTAGCCAACCTCATTCTGTATATCAAATAGAAGTAGTGTTATACAGAAAAATTTTTAGATCATTTTCAATAGTCATTTGTATTTATCATCGATAGCAACTAGAACATTGCAAATAACTGAGTACACAAATAATTGAATTTTTATCCTAAATGATGCCGTAATTCGCTAACATTTTAATTTACTTTCTTATATAAATCCAATCGACATTTTTTTAACTTAAAGTTTAGATACAAAGAAATTGTTTATAAAATCTTCATGAGCTATTTCTTGGCATACATACATAAAATGTACCGATCTGAAATGTAACTTGGTTATGATCAATTTTAATTATATATATAAAAGTGCTGTACATTTCCATATAATTGTATATCACATTGATTTCATAGTTGATATTCTTATACGAGTACTGTACAATTTACAAATTATAGAAACATGATATTACGCAAGATTTGTTGCCCTCAATTAGTATAATAAAATAAAAACTCAATAGATACTATCAACATCTCCTAGATTGTTAGTCCATTGAACCAAAGAATCAACTTCTTTTTCCCAATCTTGGTCTTGGCTATCATAATTAGTTTTTGCAGGATTAGGTAGCATCTCACTTTCCATCAAAAACTCTACATTTGAAAATCCGAGTTAGATTGCCCATAAAAGAAGAACACAGTAAAGATTTCAATAAGCTATAAAAATAACCTTCAGTTTCTGCTGCATTTTCTTTTATATTTGATAAACCTAATTTCTTGGCTAGTTCTATTTTGGTCGCCTTTAACTCTTTTAAGGACTTTTGTTGCGATTTATGTTTGAATTGACCGTGAAATAAGCTATAATTTAATTATTTAAATAGAAAAATTAGAAAGCAAAAATTTTTCGTAAGGGAATGGCTTACGAAAATGCTACTGGTCAGTGCTCAGATCTATGATAATATCTTTGTAATACCTTGAACTTTTAGTCGTAGCCTCATTTGCTTTCGCTGAATTTAAATCCATGTTTGTGTAATATTTATTAACTAAGAATTCAGCATCTTAATAAAAATTAAAAAGTTATCAGCATGGACAATATTGCCAAGAAATGACATTACACTTATCTGAAAGAAAACAGTATGAACTAAAACGCTCAATTATTAAGATAAATTGCATCTATAGAAGAACAATAATATGTAATGATAACTAATAGATAACATTATTACCACTATAATCTGGCTTAGAACTTGCGGTCCCTAAATACATCCATGTATTATAATATTGTTCGTATGATACATGACTATTTGATATCAAGTTTAAGGGCATATCGAATCGTGTATCATCAATCCTACGTTCTTCATCATGGTCTGGCTCTGGGAAAGGGGTCAGCCCATCTTAAAACAAATTCGTGTTAAGATTTTAAAATCATAGAAATATAAATTATGTTGATAGCGATATGAACGCAGGTAAATGATATTATAAGGGTACTTTCATGTCGAAAAATTGCAAATTCTAAATACGCTAATCAAACCTGCAACTCTTTTACTTGCTTCGACGCAATCCTTAACCATAGCTTCATAAACATCCTGTGAAGATTCAATAGCTCTGCAGGCTTCAATATTAACTGCATTATCTAACACTGGATTTGACAGCATAGTCTACAATGACAGTAAGATATCATTTCATTTAATGCTCAATACGATGCTATAAAATTGTTGTAAATTAATTAGACAATTTTATGGCATTACAATAAATAGTCTAGATTATAATCTATTTATAATAATCATTACAGAATTTTTAAATATTTATTCCTCTACTTAGCCGCTTAAATTAAAATAAAATCAGCAGTAATAGGGTAGCATTGAGCTGAATTCGATGCCGATACCTGAAGGGTTTGAAGAATATATTTAATATCGTATTTATCGCTCCAAAGGGATTCATCGTCAAGAAAATCGATACATGGTCGCCCGGTTTGCATATCCACTACGAATATATTAGAAGGAATAAAGGCGAAAATTACAGTTTGCATCATTTTAATTAAATGTCTTTGGTTTTATTCTCTTAATCTTGATGACATCGTATTAAACTTTAAATTTTGGATATTACATTACCATTTGGATGAAATGGAATGGTATGAAACAACAGTCTCGGAGGCTTTACATTGTAATTTTCGCTAAAATATAATAGTACACGGAATATGCCTCCTGATGTCATGTTTAAAGTGGGCAAGAAGTATAGTCAATCGCTGTTTTAAATAGATTTATTATTGAATAACAAAAACGTCATGTATTTTAAGAAGAATGTTAAAAAGTGGTAACATAATTTATTACTTCGAAATATTTACAGCAGAAGCATTAGTGTAAGTTTGACTACCTTAAAACTGTATACCGTTAATTTCATCTATACTATGGAATATGGTATTTTACCTTCCCAAATAGTATCGTTTAAGCCACGAACGATTGCTGACCACAAAAACATGTCATTGGTGTTCAAGGGAGCGGCCGAAATACCCTTATTAGAGAAAGCATAAACTTTGTAAGTCAACGATATATTTATCAATACATGACGAAGGTAGACTTATATATTTATTGAAGTATGAATTTGTAGTATTACCCAAATCGGACGCCTTTGCAACAGCATGTACTCTCGATCTAATAGTAAATACGCACGGGAGTGCATGCCGATTTCAGTTCATTCCTTAGATGATAAAATAATTTCGTATCCTATCAAGGTCGCAGGTTCTGGTTCAATACCACCGTAGTCTATAGCTGCTGTATAGTAAGAAGTTAAATATGAAAGGTTAAATATAGGTAAGCAGTCTGTAGAATGTCTATCTCCTTAAGGATGTTGTATAAGTTAGTCATACTACTAAAGTAACCAGTACAATAATTCTGAACTAGGTAATAGATTCGTTAAGTCTTAATGGCAGCTAAAGCAATCCAGAACGATACTGCAAAGTATAGCTGATAGGCAAATAAAACAAAATACTGTAATTACAAATGCATTATGAGTTGATACATAAAAGTAATAACATGAAGAAAATGTCGACAATATTACCTATCTATTGACTAAACCTTTCGATATATTAATTATCGCAATGTGTCAAAATTAATTAACATCCGATTTCATTATCTTAAAACCAGCTATTACTATTATTTAAAATGTTCAAAGGATCTACATGATACAGTAATATGATACAGTAATATGATACAGTAATAAAAGTATAGTATGTTTCTATTTGCGATAATTCTACAATAACTTTTAAACTATTAATAGGGTTAGCGCCGTATTAGAGTATTTCAACTTTAGATTGATTACTGTAAATTTGAAATGCTATTATGCTATACTTATAGTTGCTAAAAAGATTACCTTGTATTGCTTATTTATGCATTCTCAGTATGCAGATATAGTAAGCAATAGTATAGACTCATTGCAGAATGTTAGCTTTATAAATATGCTGAGTATGAAAGTGACAGTAACAATGTAAGTTAAAAGTACAAGTATAGTACATGAAGCACAGTGAGAGAGGGGTCAAGTAATTTTAGTAGCACGCTAATCTTATTTTAGGTTATGATCATAATATCGGTACATAATAAATTTAGAACCATTTATAGCGAAGCAAATATATCTGTAGCCAACTATTTCAATTGTATATTTTATTATTTTGATTGAAAGTTGAACCGACATGTCTTCAGTTTGCTAATTCAATCATCATAAATAGTGAGTCATATCTCTAATACAGTATATTAATGTATGCAAGAAAACTGGTCCATGTTTAGTAGTTCCATATCATACACGCTGTTGATGTAAGCTTTCCAGTAGAACGGCTGCTATACGAGTATACGCGTAGTTGTATCGATTAAGCTATTACCGTTATTGAGATAATGTACTGGTCAACTTTTTACTTTTGAACTTATTATCTGTTGTTGTTGATTAAAAGAGTCAAGACTATCGTTTTAGAGTATACTATTGGCACTTACACGATTATCAATTCTATGATCCAACAAGATACTTGAGTTCATCGATGGGAACAATCATCACCCGTATGTGTACCGTATTAGCAGTCGTATCAGTTAGCCAATGGTATCATTTTATAGTAAGCGAAAGATTTTAAGATATATGAGAAGAATACGTGTCTACGCATGTACCTCTTTAAAACTCATCAATGATAATTCCACATCGAGTAAGTGACAATCCCGTACCTATGTCATGTTTGCAGGCATTCATGACCATCGAGATATCCAAATTTTTTTCTATCTCTACATATATTCACTATGGCAACGTACATCCGTTGCCATAGTTAACATATGTAGAGATAGGAAAAAAAAAAAAAATTGGAATATAGTCTAACAGTACTGTAAGAAGAGGTTGCCTGACATTCGATAGACAGTATTGTACTATAAAGTAATTGTGTACCAAACTACAGTACATAGTACGAAATGTACTGTATTTGTACTCTACTGTACACTGTACACTGTACTGTACAGTAGATGACTCAAAAACGCGGGAAATCCAAGTTGTCTAACCTGGAGAGGAACTGAATCGTAAAATTAGTGGTGCAAGGCTCCATGACAACTAGCAAGTAGAGCAGAAAGAGAGTCTGGAATGGTTAATAACTGAATTCAATGTTGAATTAGTCCTGAATTTGATTCAGTTTTTGAACGGTAAGTTTCCAAACTGTATGCGAGCTTTCAGTTGGCAACTTCAATGTTGAAAATCACTGACTCATGTCGGTGTTTTGCATTATAATAATGAAAGATTCAGTAGAACTGAGGCAGTCACTAGCGGAATGAGATGCTGAAATAAAACAATTAAATAGTATAGTCCTGGCTAAAATAAATTTGCGTAGATATTCGGGCAATAAGGAGAATGGTAGTCATGAAACAAAGACTAAATACATAAAATGTTGGCAATTTTCAACAGGATTAAGGTTACATTTATCACTTGGAACCCATCGCACACTGACGTAGACCGCATTGCATATTAAGGAAATCATCTTTATGCAGCAGTGATGATAGCAGGACCACCCCGGAGAGTAGCCGTGCATGAGCCTGTTCAAGACAAAAAGAATCAAGAACCAGTAGCTACCAAAAAGAAAAAAAAGAGGAAAGAATGGGACGTATGTTAATTGCATAGCTCAATATGGATAGTATATTAAATGGAGTTTTAACTTCTTACTCAATTATGGAGCATCTATACCAATGCATGCAATTGCTTACAGTAGTAAATTTAACAGTACAATATCTTTATCGACACAACTAATACGATGATTTAGGCTAAAACGTTAGGTCCTACGATTACAAATCGATATTTATAACTATCATAGAAACTACGCACTATGAGTCTACTGTCAGGTTTGTCCTCCCTGACATTAGTCTACGACACGACTCTAGATACTGGCGATCTCATATCGTCAGCAACAGTAAATACAACTAGTCTCTCTTAGACATAACTGAGCCCAAACTTTATTGAAAACTCATGAAAAGTCAGTCAATTTGTACATAAACATGAATTACTATCAGTTTATAGGTAATATTACAAAACTATCTTATGGAATCTATGTAACGACAGCTACGTAAAAGTTACACCGTAACATCTACTTTAATAATTTTGCTACCATTGCTTATTTATTACAAAAGAATAGACGCTTGACGTGGTGAACTATGCCGTTAGTTTGTTACGTGAATAACTGCATGTAGTACGCACAATTTTAGTTATTTGCTAGAAATGAGATAGTCGTGCTTTGCTTTGATCTGCAGGTACTGCAGTACACGTATACGTGTAGATTGCTAATTATGGAAAAATAAATCATCATCTAGATTCCATGAAAGTGCTTATTACAGCTTGAAAAGTTGTACTGATTGTAATCTTCATGCAAGGTGCAAACATGATTAATTTATCAGCCTATTTGAATATCGGAACTATCTTAACATCCCCTATGTTAAAACAAGTTTGAGTTAGCTATCAGTTTTGAAATGATGTAAAATCAAATGCCACCGGAACTTACCTCCTTTCCGATTTACTAATTTACTCTACTTTATCAAGATAGTTGCTTTTCTCCTATTGTAATTAGCTAATGGATTTGAACCCTTCTATTTTACAATTTAGAGTACTGTTTCCGACTTGTCCGTATATAAACTCTCCAAGGAAGAATTGGTAAGAAATACTTCTTATTTTAATATCATGCAGGCTGCAATCTCCAATGCTGTGCTTACATAAGACAATTAATTGTTATCAATACGTTTACGAAATCGCGATATGAATTCGTACACATATCTTACGCTTATTTTATAATATTGTTGTTGTTTGTGTGGAGTATACCAAGTATGACTACTAACGATACTATAAACTATTGTTGACTTGTGTGCATTTGCATTGGTGTAAGTGATTATTTCACGATGCAGATACGCTATCGGATCCATGTGCTGGTAGTCATCATTCCCGGATTCGCAGTGATACTGTATTGTGTAAAGGAGTTACTAGAACTCTATTAGCTTAAGTAACGCTAGGATCTTTTAAAATGGAACAGATATTTTTATACTCTGGCAGCTTTATACTGTATGCTCTCCAATTTTTGTAGGCAAAAAGGCGGCAGCTATACCAATCACCAAATTGGTCCACTAGCCAAAGAAATAGTAAGGAATTATAACAAACTACAATCTATCTTAATTCTACTGGATAGTAGACAGTGTCAGCATATAAATATAATGAAACAATAAGACAGATTTTACATTATTAACCATAATTATTCGATGACTATGTAATTTCGTAAAAGAGGAAAGTACTAGCACTATTCATGCTTACTGTAATTCTTAGATATTCATGTAATTGTTATTTTGAATTTTCACAGCTTTCATGGATGAATCTAATACCTCACGACTTAGTCAGTTGACTCCTGATGGACGAGACACAAAAAAAGCGGTTGTTATGAAAGAAATTTTACATCGAAATGATAAGGTGGTTTGGGTCATAAAATCAACAGTTAATAGGATCCGTTTGGGTTATCGTTGACTCTGTGTATAGCAATTGTAGGCGATAAGATCAGAAATGGACAGTATCTGAGTAATATCTAATGTTTAATATTCTAAATTAGCTACAAAATCTTCTTGAAGAATCGGATAGGGCAGTAAATGTCATAAAAGACTTATTTGGAGATCATCCTCGAGTAAGTTAATCGTATTTGTACGGTTTCTTTTATGAGTAGTGCCTGTCCACGGTATGTTATACTTGTCTTGATAAGAGAGAAAGACTGAGTTAATGGGATAAATGCTCTTATTGGAGCAATATCATCAGTACGATTCATTTCTGTAGGACTTCAATGCTTTATACTCTTGTAAATAGGGCCTGTAAAAGAACGAGACAAGAGCCCATTCTTTATGTTCGTTGTTATAGTTATATGACAGGCATTAATACAGTATATGTAGATTCATTAATATTTAATCCATTTTTACGCTTTATGTACTTAGATGAATATAAATTGAATTCAATAGCTTGAGGTGTACAGTACATAGGGAAGGATCATTAGATATTTACCATGACAAAGTGATCTATGACATAGGCTAACATTTCTTTGTGATTGAAAGTCGAAAATTTGTACGGATCTTTTTGGTTGCTGTGGCAGTAAATTTGTTACTACTGTTTTTTATTTACGCATGTTAGTTTACAGTGCTATATGAATCTATGTCTTTTTCTACTTATACTTATATTCCGATCCTTTCCGTATGCAGCGTTTCATAGCATTCCCAAATGTTACGGCAGCGCCGGAGAATCAGGAATTAGATCATAACAGGTTGGTGACACTTTTACTCCATTACTACGTATAGTAATGTGCTACTTCGATTTGAACTTTACACATGCGCATGGCATTTAAATACTGTATAAATATGTATTGCATATTTCGGCACTCTTTAGTGATGGTCATCTAAGAAATAGCATAGTTGTTCAACCTGAAGAGCCACCGACGCGACTTTCTACTTTAAGTCAGTCCGTAGTCAATACTCCGGCAATAAACGAAGCCATTTCAGGTCTACTCATCTCAATGAAAGATTTAACACATTTCGTTTGTTTAAATTTTCATCCGTTTGATAAATTTTACAGTGGCTGATGACGATCTGCCTGTTAATGATAAAGAAACTAATGATACTGTCAAAGATACCTTACTAGATAGTATACATTCTACACAAAATTATACTAAGAAAGGTAAAGTTTGATAATTTTCACTTTTCACCGTTTTATCGTATGGAAACTTCTTAAATTTCTATTTGTCGGTACCTAATGATCCAAACTTCCATGCAGATGTATCTCGTTGTTATTAGAGTACTTGACATGCAATCATTTAAAATAGTTAATCATGTTTGATTTTACCATGAAAATTTGTCTGAAAGGGGATAAATTGGCCGAAAATATCGTAAATAATGATAGAAATGGGGACGATTTTGCAGAAAGTAGTTTAATTGATGATGGCACAAAGGACCCTATCAATCAGCGAGGTAAAATATCTAGTTTAGATGAACTTAAAAGAGTAGTTAGCGAAATCGAAACAGAAATCGGGAATTATGAAGAAGAAATTGGCGATGTAATTAGCGTAAAATCAAATGCTCAGGTACGATCAGTGCGCTTCTTAGTACTTTCTTCTACAGTCTGTTTCTTATGCAGAAATTGAAACTATTTCTAATGATAGAATTTCCTCCTAGGTTACAGGGTTTAGCGGATATACTGCCGCATTATTGAATACAATTCGCCGTCTAGTTAGGCATCTTCGAGAGGTTGACAAATTGACATAATTGCTTCTACATCTTAAGTTAATAAATCGTAGTTTCACAACAGGATTTGTACAACTGATATGTAAAGAGACTCTTGAAGGTGCGATAATCAGAATTTCTGTTTTAAAGATGTAATATTTATTCATTACCATTATAGCGCGATAAACATTTAAAGAGAGAAATTGAAGAACGTAATAGACTATTGAATTCTGTAGACGAACAGAGGATATTAATTAATGGGTTGACTGCGGTAAGCTCCTATGCGATTATAGGAATACTCCAAGAAACTGTTAGCATTATTTTTTGACATTCGCTAAGATTGGTTATATTATTTATACTATTTTTGAAAAAGGATATTCTTCGCACTCAAGAAATTTGCAAATCGATGCAGTCTTCATTTGACCAATATAAGTTAGAATCTGAATTACAAATTACTCATCTGCAGGTAATTATTGCATAAAGTTTGTACATGCTTTCGAGTATTGCTATGACACTGAATGGAATTATTACATAGAAAGAACTATACGCTGTTTTGAAAAGTCGTGAGTATCAGTGTGTAACAAATACTATCGAACGCTTATACGAAACAACCCGCAAACCTATTGATGTAAATGTAGCTTCTACTGCCAAGCAAGATATATACTCAGGTAAATAATGATATTCTAAGATTTTATTTTTTATCAAATAATTAGAATCTGTACTGTCTATATTTGTATGATTTATTCATTGGCTTGCCATGCATCGCTTGTTTTTTCGATACTTTAAAAAAAGTTTCTAATATTTTAACCCTGAATCTGTTTTGCGTGTATCGGAAGCTGTTAGTGTAAATGCTGCAATATAAAGGTTAATAGTAAGTACTGAAATTTAATGTTCTTATTCTAACAGGGTTAGCAGAGCTAATCAGCGGTAATGCAAACGGCGATTTTTCTTATTTGCCCCTTCATGAAAAGCCTGACCAACAGTTATTCGCTCTCGCTGATGTTGAATCTGATGATAAAGTATTGTAGGTCTATGTACGAGCAATTTTTGACGAGTACTAGTATCATTCTCGTCCCAAAACACCAGAATTTAACTAATTTGACCTATACATATGCATTACCAAATAGTGTAAAATCGACCTGACTTTTTATTAAATCCTTTTAGAAATTGTAGAGAAATAAAGTATGAGGACTCGTCGCCTTGCCCTTGAAGATCGTATTCGGCGTTCTGTATCGCATACTATTTCGACAATTAACTGTTATTTTAAAGGAGGTGACTATTTTACGGAATTCGTCTGCTTTATATATATATGTACAACCTATTACGGAGATTCTGATTCTCATACAGTTATTGTAATTTAACTTATTGTAAATATTCCCTTAATGGGTGAACTTATTATTATACTCGATTGTCCGCATCATATGAGAACTTATTATTTTACTTAAAGAACTACAACATTTTATTATTAATTCAGGTTGATTTGACTAAATTACGATCACTTCAATTACTATATTGTCTTAGCCTCGTGCTTTGAGAGAATTTATTATAGCCAGGTGTTAGTTGTAGGCAGGATATTCGGCAATCGATTAATGCTCGCAAATTTTATTGTCTTCTTAATTTCTCGTCTAACTTTGTACAGTATAGTAATATAATAATCTCTTTACAGGAATTACTTACTAGCGTAGAAAACGACTACTTTATTAGCCTAGTCTTTTGATGTACACCTCTAATTTTAATAAAATGTCGCACTGTTTATTGAGATACGATTGCTTTAAAGTAATCTATGATTACCGTATATCAATGATCACCATGGTGCCTTCATAGCTGCTTTAGCGTTTACTATAAGAATTATGGTATTATTTCCTCCTACAATGCACTGAAAATTTGTGTTCTAGCTCGTTATTATACTCATATACATAACTAAACAGTCAGGTAGACATAATCTTAGGTACCATATGATTCGTAGATTTGGATGCACTACGAGATGGCACGATAGTTTTCTAGTAAGAATTGATGGAATTGACGAAGTATATTTATAGATTGTTTTGTTATGAATGAAGTAATTAGGTAGCAAAAACATGTAAGGGTCTTTTATGATTTTAATTGGCTTATCACCAAACTACGTTACTTGCTGTATGTAAATTAGGATATTAAAGAGAAGTAGATAAAGATAGCTTTTTACAAGCAGTGCATCCAATCGAGAAATGCGAATGATACCAAGAGTTTAACTAGGGTCGGGAAATCGGATATTGATCGTTATATCTATGACTAAACTAATAAAATAATTATAAAAATGATCATTCCAGATGAAAATTTTGTCAATGAAGATTGAAAATTCAGTACATATCGATATTGTAATAACAACAATGTCAAGCGGAGACTAAAATGTCTTTTTGTACTGCCGCTATAGTCGAGCATAATGACTGGGTCAATAGCTGCCGGATGGAAACCTTTATTACTACTATCATCTTGTCTATCAATATATTAGTTTTAACGCCGGGTCATTAATAGAAATTTTGAAATAAATATGTATGCAATGTAATAATTTACGCCACGCTAGGATGTATTGATATTGGTCGTCGTTTAACATGACCGATTGCGTATCGTTTCACTTGTATATAAGTACGGTAGCTTAGGAGTCATAATGATAAGTATTTGCTATTCATGTATGAATATTACTAATAAAGTCGCGTTATTGTGACTAGAGGAGCAATACTAGATAACTATAACAACATTATCACAGCAAATAAAGTTGAGAAAAGATCGATTTCTGAAAGATTATGTTAAGTTAAAGATAGTATCTTCAAGGTTTGCAATACATCATTGCATAGTAAATTAATAATGCATCTCTAATTTAAGTTTCATTTTTACACTGGTAATAAAACTCTATATACTCAAGTAAGAGGCTAATACTTTCCATTACAATAGAATAATTCAATGAATTCATAGATGGCTTAATTGAGATTAATCAACGTTAAAATTGTAGGCTGTAGAATGATAAGATAAATCTGTCATACCGGAGTCTAAAATACAGAAATAATTTATAATATTGACAGGTTAAAATAGATTAAAACTTCCCGTTAAGTTCTCTATAATAGCTACAATCTGTTCCGACAAATGCATAGAATTTACGATACCACCAACGCAGAGAGAGAATACTTCTTCCATTCGGTATTGAAAATTGAAGCTTCCTATTGAGTACCGTCGTCGATTAAGTAGTACGATAGAATATAAGTTGATCACTTTATTGTCAATGACTTGATAAAGTAGTTAAGCTTTAACTATGCTCCAATGCACAAGCAAAGTAAATAAAATTTTATTGCTGTGATTTGGCGATTGCTGTCATAACTGCATCAGTGTCATTTATTCGCAAAATAAGATAGCCATTGAAGATCACGCCATCTATCAATAATTTAAAATTAAAGTTGTTAGGTGATTGTATTTAATTAATAATTGTGTTTAAGCAGTCTATTAGTCTTAGAAAAAATATACAGTATTTTCAGTTTTAGCTGGAATGTTTATTTGAGTACTCACTAAATTGAAACATGAGTAGATACTAAAGTACTGTAAAAAATCAATAATTGTCCTCAAATTTTAAGCACTTGCATGGTGTTGCTATAGAGAAGAAAGATTTGCAAGCAGGCAACGGTTGAAAACTTCATATGTTTACGTACGCATATAAAATAAATATAATAGCTACATAATATACAGAATGAGTACGCTATGGCTGAGGCTTACGCTAGTTTAATTAAAGAAATAAAAATTTCAATAACCTAGAGATTACGGTGCAGTTTATTGGTATAATAGTATAAAATGTAATTGTATTTACTACAAATTCCTTTTATTTAATTAACAGATAAGCGTACAATTAATGTGATTTAAACAACATAATTGTATGCAATCAAAATAATTTTAATGTAAAACTAAGGTATTATGTGAAAAATGTAAAAAAACTCGGACAGTGTAAAATTATCCATAACGTTACGCTTTTTATAATGATAACAATATATTTACTAGCTTACCTCAAACGTAGGTTATTTTAGAACCATTAATATCTTTAATATCTGGAGATGATATTTTAATTCCATTACTACTATTTAACCGCGATTTCCTTCTACGTCGTTCGTACTGTGAATTATTGGATGTTGAAAAAGAAATTGTACTTTTGAGATGGCGGCCAGCATCAGATTCGCACAAACCGCATAAAAAGTTACGAAAAGCACGACGAAAATGAGGATTAAATCGGTAACATATTAAAACATTGAAGGCACTACATGTATATGTTGCTTGGCCAAGTACCAACCGGATTAAATACATACCCGAATTTGAATTGGTTTTAATAGCGTTAAAATTTAGCAAATTGAGAAATATCATGTAGGGAAAGTATGTTATAAAGAATACAACTACAATAATTACTAACATTTTCTTCATTTGTTGCTTTAAATGATCGCTTTTTTTCTTACGACTATTTTTTATTTCTTTGGCTGGCCTTAATGATAATGCCATACGAATGTTAAAATAAGTAATACAGATTAATGGAGCAATTAACGCAACAATACTTGTTGCCAAGAAGTAGTAAGCGATAGCTGTTCTATCCCAATTTTGCAGACAATATGGTATTTCGATAAGCGCACCATTGAAGGTATAATTGTAATAAAGAACTTGAATATGGGCCATATATGGTGCTGCGAAAGCAAAAGATGCACACCAAATAATGGCAATAGATACAAAGCAATGGCCTAAATTAGGTGGTGGTAACAAAGAATAAGTTATAATCCGATTCCTTGCGTAACTCATACATACAAGTGAATAAGCCGAAACTAAGACAGTGACGATACCAATAGACTGACTAAACTGACATAATCCAAGACCAAATGGCCATTGATTACTCATTTCCCATGCTGACAGAAAATTTAGTAATCCAGCAGTTAAGACGCGAACGGTAGTAGCGACACCATAATTAAAAAGCATAATATTGGTGTAGTTCCATAAGCGACGATGTGTTGCAATTGTAAAGCAAATGACAAAATTACCAATAACTACTACTGTAATTACGAATATAAATGTAATTATATAGACAGTTCTCAATGTTAATTCGTAACTATTGGCTTGACTTTCATTACTGGCCATATTGAAGAAAGGATTACTAGGTTCGGTAACTTCAGTTTCTAATTCGTTTGCTCTGCAAAAAGAAGGAGGTAAAAGTGAAGAAAATTTAGCATGTGTTCAGAATTTTAATGATGATAAATTGACGATAAAAATAGCTCATGTTGCTGGTATTAATGAGACCTTAATTAACGTAGCTTGACCAATATTACAAATCTAATTTATATAAAAATGTAATACGGCAATTTTTTGTTTAATCAGATTTCCATTAGATTGAGATGGAATTAGTACCGTTGTCATAATACTTAAGGTGGCATAATAAAATTATCTGCGTCAATACACCACCTTATAAAGAATGAAGATTTCAAGATTATGTCCAATAATTAAACGATTATAAGAATTTCATGGAACTGGCCATATCCAATTGTATAGCCATATAAATAGAGAAAATAACTGTCGCTATGAAATTTCACTTTGAGTTAATTGCCTCCGATAACAATATTCCGAGTATTTGTGATTGTGAAAGAATTAAGTAAATGTTTTTGATATAAATTTAGTAAACCCACTCGCAATTGTCATTTATGGTTATCATTATTACTCTCTGTTATTAATAGTATTATCATTGTTAAAATTTTTATCAACCAATAAAATGAATATAACTTCCCTATTTCGTCAATACAATGAGTAATATCGACTGCAACATACAAGAAGTTAGTCATGCGTTGATCTATTTTCACAGCGTAAATACTGCATCAACTGATATAGCCGGTGTGCTTTTACATACAGCATTAAAGGATTGCGAGGTAATCAATTAAGTTAAATAGAAAAGGTAGACTACAGTAAATAGCTCTATTACTGTTTCATTGGATCGTGACTAAAACAATTATTTCTTCGAGATCGTGACGATTTGATGATCTAGTGTTAATGGTACAGATGTTGTACGATGATGCTAAGTGTTTCTTAATTGATGACTCAGATCACGTTTAGACATTTAATGCTAAATTGATGAGTAACCTACGAGTCATAAATTAACGATCATCGTTAGTGAATTTCAGGTCAAGCATGATCATTAGTATGATTCGAAAATGAAAGTTACCATTCATCTTGTTATTAATATTGTTGGGACTGTCGATAAATTGTGTCCTTTTTAGGTCTGATGGAAAATAAAATACTTGAGCAGATAGTTACTATTAACCTAATAAAATGTAGGAACGCATCGTTTCTTATGGAAAATTTATCTACTCTAAGGCTTTACTAGCTACAGTTGCCAAGCTTTTATTCATGTAGACCACAATCGATCGATATACGCGTATCTTAATACTGTAATAAGATTATGCAATATAAGCGTTGTAGAATCATATCTAATAACTTATTCATTGCATATTGACCACTTTTTATGTCAGTTAATGGTTAAATCAGCTTGTACTATTGTACTATTTGTCTGCCAATCAATACAGAATACTAAAAATGATCTGTGTTGAATGTGTGACATCTAAGATAAATAGTAACGTTACATTTTAGGATAGTTAGGTTGTATAAGATACTGTATGCAATTGGATTGATTTTATACTTTATAAATAATTGATGAAGTTATGAAATTTCAGTAAAGTTATATGTTATGATGATAGAGAGTAAGAGAAAGAAAGAATGACATAATTTACCATTATGGAAGAAGTGAGACTGATTTTCCATTACTTTCAATAAAATTAAATTCGGTATAAGAGACAAAATATACTTGAATATAAGAGTGATGAAGTAGGATGGGAGTAATGGAACATATCTATATCGTAGAAATAATGAATAAATTAAAAAAGAGTATGTGAAACTGATTTGCTGTTATGGCACTCTTGATAGAATTCGATTTGTTTCAGGGACAAAATATACTTGAATGTAAGAGTGATGGAACATAGCTATACCAAAGAAATAACTAATACATTAACGATTATTTAACTCCGTCATACTTTATTTAATTTTGACAACATGATATAAAATTGAGGATGTTGAGCTAACCTGGCAAATTGAATGACTTTCTTACTTAGTAATATTAATATTACAGTATGAAAACCCTCATTTGGCTGGTTGGTAACATCTATCGTAATTCTATGACAGCAGTTTACCTTTTTACTGTTGATTGCTTATTGGCCGGGATGTTAAATTGATACGGCGAATTCGATCAATCTGAGTTTTGTTTATTACCACGAAGAATGAATCAGAGTCAAATCAGTTCCCATTTTTATTTGCATGCCAGATTCTGCACTAGATAATCGCAGTATATCGAGAAGATATGGTTTCTTTTTACGGGTAAGTTCGGAATGTATGACCTAAAGATATTATCCGTTTAGATAATTTTGACTAGCGCACCATTTTAGCAAATTCTTTATCAACCTGTGACTGATGTCAATAGAGCATAACTACAGAAGTAGATCTATCCACAGAAATCTTTTACAACACGAAAAACAATACTATGGTCTGATCAATGCCACACAGTCACATAAACAACGCTTCTTTGTTGTTTTTTCTATAAATTTATCCACCGTGTAAATCGTTTATTGTTTACTTTAGATTGTTGTATTCCATTATGTCTTACTGATCAAGCAAAGGTTATAACAGGGCTGCAAAAGAATTAATCTAATTTAGCAAATTAAGCATATTGGATTTTATGTATTATCCAATAACAGTCGAACTGTTGAAGTCATCTCAAATATCGATATGGTCCACTGTAGCTAGTTCTATGATCGAGTAGTAATTATGCTGCAATGCTACCGATAGTAGACTTCACTTTTCTCTCTAGTCATCGCCATTACTTTTTCCCCCACTTTTCTCCTATTAATTGCAATTAATTAATTATAGGCTATCATATTTTCATAATAACATTTCAGAAAGAAATCAAACTAGTTGGAGGTCTGGTAGTCTATGTTATTTTGAAAAATAAAATTGTGCAGTTTCGTTCAATGTGCACTATGTAATCTCAGTTGGAATTTTTTCAATGATTTCCCTTTCTATCCTTCTCTTTTACTTTAGTCAAGTAGACTTATCCATTCACAGTATTCATAAATATCAGAACTGCAGTAGTGAGCATCATTTTTTATTTTTAATGAGAAGATCAAACGTTGCTATAATATACAGATTAATGTTGCTTACTCAAATTGGATATTTTTGAATACATTGTAAAGTATAATCTACTAAACAATAGCTATTCATATATTCACAGTATTCATATATAACAGAACTGCTGTAGTGAGATATTATTTATTATTTTTAATGAGAAGATCAAATGTTGCTTGCTCAAATTAGATATTTTAGAATACATTGTAAAGTATAATCTACTAAACAATAGCTATGATCTGTTTCTTAGGAAATAATAACATCGCGTAAATACGGTCTGGTGAATAAATAGTTTATCAAATTAAATCTAGGTTGCTTCTATTGTTGTAATGCCATCATGGTACTTATGATTGGGTAATGGAGGCCGCGATTACAGAATGAGTGAAGACGTAGGATAGATGATGGATAATAATCTAAAATATCGAATCTAAATAAGATTCAGAACTTTAATTTGATTGATGGCTTGTGGCACAATAATTATGACATTCTTACATATATTGTATACTGTTACTAACTTAGCCGACGCACTGCTTAATTTGCATTGATTAATGACAATAAAAGGTACAGAGTGCAAACAAAAATAAATTTGGATATACGTACAGACACGAATATATACTTATAATAAATATATCTGGAGGTTACTGTACTGTCAATCATCGTTATTTCTTTTAATTTCCATCAATTGTCAATTACCAATATAGGATAGCGATATAATCTATAAGATATCTACTATAACTAGAGAGTTTATAATAATCTCTATTACTACGTACGTGTTGATCAAAATTGGTACAGTATATGCATTTTAAAAAATAATAAAAGCCGCACCGTAATTGCGATCAAATTATTATTTTCGACTTAGAAACGTCATATTAATTTTATATTGAATCGAATAAAGGTAATGGGCAAGTCTCCTTCCTATTCCTTGTCTTAGTCAATCGGTTCTTCCTCTTTTATCGGAAATATCCTGGTGATTAAAAAAGTATCTAGTCTAAACAAGATATTTAAGAGTTAGCATTTTACTTGCAGTCATAACAATAACAATTACAATAACAAAATAATAACTTATAATCAACAACTTCATCGATTCTTCAAGTTGCAATGTGTCCAAGCTGTCGGCTAGTTAATGGATATGATAGACACATGAGTAGATTGGATAGCACTAATCACCATCTTACGTAATAATTTACCAGGACATAAATGCGATTAAGTTATAATCTCGAATTTAACAGTTTTGATCACAGTCAATATAATTAATACTCGTTAAAAGCAATAATGCGTTAATATGACAGAAAGAGCGCAATTCTGTTTTCAATACGGACAATCGTCAAATCGCTATCATTCAAGATTATGATGTTTTGATTTTTGTAGGTCAAAGTAGGTTCATACTGAGAAAGCCATCTTTAAATCAATTTGACTATTATTAATACAATTAGTCATAGTTACTATATTGAAATTAAGTAAATAATGCTACCATAGTATCTTGTTGACGTCTTTAGTATTGACGTCTAAACATAAAGCAAATATAGATCAATAATACATATGAATAAAGAAAGCAGTTCAATAATTAAAATTACGTAGTCATATTGATGGATTTTATTAAAATCAGGTTGGAGTAATACCATCTTTATTGGAAAATAAAATTAATTAACGAAACTTACAAACATTCGACACAAACTGATTGTGACAGTGTTATATACTGTAGTAGACTAGAAATATCTATATGAGGATAATTCTGTTAGCCTTTCCTTGTTTAATTAACTTCTAATTTGGATATACTGTGTTTTGATATAGCACTGACTTTTTATGATAGTGACACATATACACATACTGAAATTAATGATTATAATAGGGAATGCAAATCATCTACTTACAGTTCGAGTCATTGTGATTGTAACTTACTTATAGTAGATTGTAAATTA